TGAACATACAACACATCCACTCCAAGGAGAACAGCTAGGTCTTATGGCTTTCTGGAATGGCATCTGGGTGGGAGCCACCTGAATCTTAGGGAGAATCTCATTCCCTAAAATGTATCATTTCTCATGGCATTTTTTGCTCTGTGATGTTTTTGGCTTTTAGCTGCCCAGGGCCTTCAGGAATGGGTGGCATATAAACTAACAAATTTGATGTTACTTGGTGTTGTTATTATATATTTTTTAATGCTGGAATGGGAATATCACAGTAAGATTAACCATTTCTTTGATGTAATTCATTTGTCAGCTTACGTCTTTTAGTGATATCCAGAATTTAATTTGCTTTGGAGCTTTGAATTTTGGCAGCCATTATATTTTGCAAAAATAATTCAATATTGGCCTGATTGTTTTTTCAATTTTAGAAGTAAAAATTAATGCATCATATTAATGCAAAAGCAATGTTCTCAAAAATAACCCCTCCAGCATGTGGAGTGAATATAAACAGTTCTTAACTTCCACTATATAGAGATATTCAAGATGTTTTGACAGTGTTGCTATTCCAAAAGAGTTTTATATTTGTCTATAAGCAAACTAGACTGGCTACAAAATCTTGTCTCAATTGGAAAAACAGAACAACACATTTTAGAACAAGACCAGACCTTTAAATTGCTCATTGCAAGAGCAGTGAAAGAGCTACATGCAGAAGCGATGGTCTGTAGCAGAAATTTCTGACATTAAAAAGAAAAAAAATACAGTGAACAGATCCTTCTAATAGCACTGATTTTATTTAAGCTGTAATTCTAAAAATGCTTACCAAGAAGTAATTCTTATCGAATTCATTTCTGGAATAACTGCATATAGGATTAAACATGCATAGGAATAACTGTTGGATTGAAACCTCAAATGAAATAGGCATATGGCAGGAGATAACATTTTACTTGCCGATTCCAAAGCGTGTGGCCTAATAATGCAGTCCCCTAAATAGAATCGAAGCAAAATGCTGAACAGGGGCATACGCAATTTTATATCATTTAAGTTACTCATTCCTTGAGTAGCATTAAACTTGTCAGATAAAACGAATGTGTATTTATTGTTACCTGTTATTCTAACGTAGTATAATTCTGGATGAAAAATTACATTGTCATTTAGTTCATGTGTCTTCAATAGCCCAACATATATTAACAGAAGTTCTTTGGGTGGGTGGGGCAGAAAAACGATGTATTGTTTTCATGGGATCTGAATATGTATATAAACATGTCTTTGGGAAAATATGAGCTCAATTTGATTGAATTCATAGTGTCATTTATTTTTCAGGGGTTTTGCGATATCTTCTAAAAGTGATTTTTCCGTCTGATTCTATAAAAATTGGATTACGTGCGTGTCTGCCGCATGTAACTGTCCAGGTATAGTTAAACAAATGGTTGTTCCTCTATGGGGACTCAGCATTAAAAAAAAAAAAACAACTTACATTCTTCCATGGCTGCTTTTACTTAATTGATTTAATTAAATTAATTGATGGGATGGCATTTCCGTCGTGTCTCACACTGGAACAAACGAACCCTTTAGTTTCTCATGTAACAGCTGAGACTTAGGTTGAATTATTCTGCATATCCTCTCTCTAATATGTTATTGTTTTTGATGAGCACCTTCCTCAGACTGACAGAAAAAAAGGTGCAAAGGAAATTATTAATGGCCAATTTAGCAACACGAAACGTGTTTATCACCTAGTTTCTTTCTCTAATGATCTGAATTGTGCTAACCAACTACCTTTAAAAGTTTAATAGAAACATTTTGCTTAGAAAATGGATATATGTCTCATAGTCTTACAAGCTTTCATGATGCATTGGAATATATTAGTCATATGATATTACAGATTCGTTGGCTACATCACTGAAATAAATTTCTAAGACATCATTATATATTTAAGACACAGATAAACATCAGAATATACTTAATGGCAAGGTTTATTGTTTAACAATTAGAAGACAAAACAATTAAAATTTGCAGTTCAGAACATGCACATTCACCAAATGCCAATGACATGTAACACTGCATAGAAGTGAATATATTATTAAAATTTATTAACATTATAAAACAGTGCATTTAACATCCATTTAAAACTAAACCTGAGAAAACTACCATAAACACTGAGTCAAAAATCTCTCCATTCATGCAGCTTCACAATTTCCACAGTAGTTTCAGCAGTAATGATTTAGGGGAGCTGGAAAATCCTACCTTACCTTGAATGCAGTCCTAAGTATTATATAGTGCCTATTTTTTATGAACATTTCATGAAAACTGCAGCGGAAAACTAAGTTAATGCATTATGGCTTAAATTGTAGAACAAGAAAAAAACAACAACACTGAAACATGATTCAGCTTTTACACGTCTGGGTCACAGTTTTGCAAGTACAAAATATTAAATGGATGCACAAGTCTGTGTTGAAACAACTTATAAAGCAAGTAGATACATCACGGTCGATTTTCACTATAATTTATTGACTAATTCAATCAGTTTCTTGGGCCTTGCGCATATTTTGGAATGCTTTCACTACGGGGCTCCTTTTGAGTTGACATTCCATGCTAACAAAATGAAGGTGGCACTCCCGTTGTTCACCCAACACTTCACTTTTGCTTACCAAACATACACGCTTTGATGCCTGTTTCAGCTAACAAAGAAATAATAAGCGTTACAGCACAAGCATGCATCACGTTCAGATTCACACTGTGACATGCAGACAGATTGCTAAAACTTAACCAAAACGACAACTGCGTTTCCACAACACGTAAGTCAGTAGGGGAAAAAAGGTCACGTGGTCCAATTGTCAAGCAAATAATTAATTTAACATTAATTGATGATAAAAAGGAGGTCTTCCCATGAGAGATTGTATTATACTTTTTAAAACATTTCTTCTACTGGTATACAACTAAAAAGGTTTTTAAACTATTATTTAATTTTATTAAAATTTATTTTTGCAAATAAGTCTAACCTAAGAAAACATGACTACTTATGGCTTCACAAAGTGTATCCAGTTGGTTGATTTTCTGGTTAAATAGTACCACATTCTTACAGTTATTTAATTAAAAATAATATACAGGTATAGACATACTTTTGATTTCTGAATGGTAGCAGATTCTTTCAACAATGATTTTTTAAATGTTAACATAAATATTGCACAATACATAATATACACATAATATACAATTTCCTTAATGCAGGTAACTAAGAAAAATGTAATTTTTATCACTTTAAAATAAAATACTGTAATCTAAAAGAACCCTATTTGAATAAAGTATGCATATCAACCAACTTCCCTAAATATATATTATATTATAATATAATATATATTTCTATATTATAGTGTAATAAATAACTTTTAAAGCCTTTTTTTTAAATGAAAGGTATAGGTTTGCAAATTACATATGCTTTGTACATCCTGACTTTTGTTCAACAGTTCTCGTTTACTTGGATTTATGTTATTTAGAAGTCTGAAAATTTTTCTTTGAATCAAACATTTCTATACCATTTACTTTATAAAGCGCGTTCTCAGAAGAGTTTTTTTCATCTTTCCTAGGTGGTTAGAAAATGGGAGAAAACGAAACATTGAGGTCTGGCACCTTGAATAAACTGGCACATTTGAAAGAAAAATGTAATATATAATAACTGGCAGTGAATATTGTCTACCATGTTTGTAAGGCTGGGCAACTGGGGAACTTTCATTTCCTGAATTTTAGTTAATGCAAGGTATTTATGCCTGCATCTTGATTCACCAAGGACAATCTGTGTGAGAAAACAGGATCCCCTGTGTGCAGAAACAAGACTCTGCGTGCAGATCATTATTCTAGGTCACTCGCATGCAAAACATTCCCTTTCATGCTGTTGGGAATGGAGCAGGGGTTGACCCCTGTGTCCATCTACATGTAGCGTTATGCGGACCGTATATGCGCTTGCCGCTGCTGGCTGAACTAAAGATTCTCGCTGTCAGAGTCAATAAGAGCTTGCCTTAAGGTCATAAGCAACGAACGGGATATGTTATTCAGTTTCTGCTTAATCATTATCTGAATTTATTTTTTTGATTCTAAAAGAAATATACGCCGCTTAAAACTGTACTGTAAATATGCTATCGTATTTTTTAATAATTTGCTTCAGAAATATTTTGTGTTAATATAAAGCAATAATCCAGGTTTTTGAAGATGCCCTTAACTGTGTATATGTGACAGTGTGAATGTGTGGGTGTATGTGTGTATAGTAGGTCAATTTATTTGGCTCTCATTGCTTTATTAATGATCTGTGCCAGAAATAGCTTTCCTAAAGGCAATTTCAGGCTGCAAGATTAGAAGGAGAGCCCTTTTTAACGAGAGACTTCATTGACTCCTTGTTTATTTTCTGCTTAGCCAGAGAAAAATAACTTTATACTATGAGCACAGTTATGAAATAAGTATGAAAAATTGTATACTTAAATCATAAATATATGAAATATTTCAGAAGTATATGCAATATTTAATAAATAGTGTTTCTATTTCGCATTACTTTTTAAAAATGGACTTAATGTAGAAACACAACCCACAAATATTGAATTTACCATAATTTTTATCCTTGTCCATAGATAGGTAAACAAATTGGACATGTCACTGAAATCAGACATGGAACTGTCTATATAAAATATATTATTGACCAATTGAAATGGCTCTTAACACGCACAGTGGAAAAAAGGACGTTGCAATTTAATATTAGTTTTTTTCATTATGATTTTACAAAATGACATATTTAAAAACATTTAATCAAAACATTTCAGTTAATGAGAAGGGAAGTTTTACATTACTGGTTAGAAAATGTTTTTATTTAAAACACACACAAACCTTATTATTTTAAATTCTCAAACGTTAGCTAATTTAAATCAAATTTGGGAATGTATAAACAGAATATATTAAATACCAAAAATAAACTGTTTTATAGTGCAAACAATGTATAGTATAGTACTAAGCTGATAACATCTATTCCTTTTTTTAGATGACGACGACTAACAAAGCAAATTATTTTATAGTAAACTAATTTATACGTAAAATGTTCTGTAAATAAAATTTGCATTTTGAAGAACACCTCCATGCCAATCCACTAAGAACAATCTGTTTCTGGCTTCTGTAAATATTACAAAATTCTGGTTTGGGTTCTCTTTATGGGGCCTATACATATGTATCCATGTGGGATGTACGCAATGCACTATGGTCTTGAACTATGTCCAAACAGTCAATAATATACAGTAGTTGGCTCTTTCTTTTCTGACAGTGTTCATGCCTGTTTGGGAAACAGGAAACTTAGTTAAGGCACCATCTTTTCTCTCTGCCAACCCCAACAAGTAACCCTTGCTTTTTAAAATGAAAGTTCTGATTATATGTACAGGGAGAGTGGCAAAGGAACATCTTAAACACAGCCCAATCTTGCACACAAATGTCTCCAAATCAGGATTTTAAAGCAGGTAACAAGTCTCAAAGACACATACTCATGACAGAGAAAATGAATGTTGTGTTAAATGTACACATTCTGTTAAAGGAACACAAAAGAGAAAAGAAAGGTGTCTGTAAGGCCAAAGGTGAAAGTAACTGCAGATCTGAAAATAAATGCAATAAAAATCAAATTATATCAGTTTTCATATTATTGTAAAACTTTTCAAGTACAGAGTATCAAACATGCAATTCTGACATCAAACACCATTGCTATCACTATCCTTTATCTCTACAAATGATGACTAAAATGAGAAATATGGAACTTCTTTGGCAAACAAGCTCATTTGTCACAATTCCTTGTTAATACTTGCTTTGAAATCTTTCTTCATCACATGAATTAAGGTAATTAAAATGGTTCTTTAGCACTTGTGGAAATCAAAGGCTCATTATTTCAAATAATTTCACCATGTATACACCTTTGCAAAGGCTATGCTTCTCAATGTATAGTATGTTGAGCAATCTGGTTGTTCATTATATTCAAGATAGATATCTATATCCACAGTATTTCTCTCTATACACAGGAACAGTACTCATCTTCACTGTAAATAAGCTGTTTGAAAAGGCTGCAGGTAATTATCAGTATCCGTTTACAAAATCCAAGCAACTTTTGAAAATTTTTAGAGATGGTGTATTAGAGTATAGTTGCACAGTGCTTATGTCTACTCAATATGTGAACTTCAAGAAACAAGAGTAACAACATACAACTCCCTCTAATCTTGTTACTGGACCATGTGTGCAGATGCAGGAAATATGCATTAATTTGCCTTGATATGGCAAATATTGGAACTCTGTGACATTGTCCTTCACCATTCATCAGGTCTCTGTTTTGTTGTATCATATGCTCTTATTACTTCAGACTGTGAAACAATTCCGTTTTCATCTTGTGAGAAAGCGTATCCATCTGGAAGTAGAGAGTTCCATTGCAATTAGAAATAGTGGTGATAGTTCTAATGCTCTTTAAACATTGTGAAAAAAATCACTGAAATGAAATACTGAAAAACATTTTGTGGAGGCTAACACTGAGGACTTGCATAGAATATGGCATGAAAGGATAAAAAGATTTTGCAAGCCATAAATACTGAGTTTCCAAACAGTATATAGAAGAACATTTATTAACCAATTGGTAACATGACAAACCACTGTGATTAAAGTTTATGTTCTTTTAAAACCAAATTCCAAGAAGGAATTAAAGTGCCACGACATTTTACACATTTTAGATCAAATCTAGCCCAAGTAGAGGTCTGTTGATGCAACTGGCTATTACTGTAGCACCCAAACTGCTCATAAAGGTCAAAAGACGTTCTGTATCCACGTGAGACAGGGTGAAGGGGAGAAGAATTGGCAGATTTCAGAGAGATCACCTTGTTGAACGCAAGGCACTTTTGAATTTCTCAACCATTTTTTACTTTACCTTTTGCTCTCTTTTATATAATTAGTCTGTTAGCCATATAATCATAGATCATGAGATTAATTCTCTGTAAAACTGATATTGTTTTTTAAAATTTTATTTACTTGAAATATTTGTATTTTGCTTTTTCACTTTTAAATCTTCAATGGAGCTGAAAATCAGCTATAATGTAGTAGACAGATGAATCCTTAGAATAATATAGGAGATAATCAGTGTGTGAGGAAATTTCTAATAAGAATCATATTGAATGACTTTGCTATTATTTGTGTCTTTCGAATTTGTGTTGATTTCTTGAATATCTCAAATACTTACGAAGTAAGTTTTGTTGCAAAGATTCAGAGTGGTACAAGTTGAGATGGTTTTTCTTAAAGACGTTTTTCAATAGCTGAGCTCTTTCAGTTAAGCTAGGGAAAAAAGAACAAATTTATTAAATGCACTAAAAAAATTTTTGGGGGGTGGGGAAATCCAGTCTGCAATGATGACTATTGAACAGATTACAGAAAATGAGCGATGGCATCAACCACACACTTAACCTTAATAGAATCTGAGCAGCTACATACAGGATGAGACTAAATGGAACTATCTGTTGGCAACTCTATTTCAAGAGAAGTTGCTTTAAGTTCCTATTTACAAAGCCACTAGAACATTCCTATTCCTATATCTCACAATGATCAGGCTTGTAATAAGCATTATAACTGGAAATATTATTATTATTATTTTTGTTTACTTTATGATTTAAATCAGTGCTGTAGATTTAGCCTCAAAACTAATTTAAGGGAGAAACAAAACTTTTCGTATGTTTTCAGTAGAATGTAAATACACTTCTGGTGAAGATTTGACTGTGTAAATGAGACCTCATTAATGTTATCTTAAACATTTGAAGTTTATGACTTAATCAGCAAGGCCTGCAACTAACTGTTGTCACATTGCTGGCAGTGAGGCATCAACGAATGAACTAGGGAGAAAAATGGTTTTGGACAGTTCATGCCAGGGCATTCTCTTTACATCATTTGCATCCACTCCATGTCATTCTCAAATTTGCTGTGATGGATTCCCAAATTCCCTGGGTGAAGCTGCGGGGGGGGGGGCGACAAGCAGCTGCAAAATGGAAAAAGGGAAGACAAACTTCACTGAGTGACCCAGTGTCTAAAAACAGGCTGGATCTAGCCCTAAGCCATCAAAATACAGGAATTAAACAAATTAGGGCAAGTGTGCCCAGCACGGCTTCAAGGACTTCCTTCCATCCCCTTAACAACAGTTTTGTTCTAGGTCATATGACTGGGAAAGGGGGCAGAAAGGGGGCTTCTTCATTAAAAGAAGCACAGATTTTGCTTTGTATAATAAATCCAGTGTTTCAGAACTGTTTTAGAGGGATGCCTTTGGGGGACGTTTTTTCTCTGCAAGACCCATTTTCAAACTCAGATTTTCCCCCCTTGGCTTCTCTCTCCACACCAAACTTGGTCCCTTGCTATTCAGTTTTAAAACAATTGTCAGGCTGACAGCCAGCCAGATTCCTTACCTCCTTTAGATCATTTCTTTACAACATTCCACTGAGAGTGGTAAAGAATAAAAAGAACTACAAAACCCTGCATCTGTTTGTAGATGAAAATAAGTACACATTTGGAAAATAGATGTGAAAACCCGCTAAGTGCTGCAACATATTTCATTATACCTATACTGTATATGTAGTTAACCTAATCTCGTAAAGGATTCGGAAGTTAAAGATATTCAAATACTATTTCATTACAGAGTATCACAACAAGTACCATCAATTTGAAGTATACAGTGGGGCAAAAAAGTATTTAGTCAGCCACCAATTGTGCAGGTTCTCCCACTTAAAAAGATGAGAGAGTTGTGTTTGGAGGAGAGAGAATGCTGAGTTGCATCTTGTGTTTGGAGGAGAGAGAATGCTGAGTTGCATCTTGTGTTTGGAGGAGAGAGAATGCTGAGTTGCATCTTGTGTTTGGAGGAGAGAGAATGCTGAGTTGCATCTTGTGTTTGGAGGAGAGAGAATGCTGAGTTGCATCTTGTGTTTGGAGGAGAGAGAATGCTGAGTTGCATCTTGTGTTTGGAGGAGAGAGAATGCTGAGTTGCATCTTGTGTTTGGAGGAGAGAGAATGCTGAGTTGCATCTTGTGTTTGGAGGAGAGAGAATGCTGAGTTGCATCTTGTGTTTGGAGGAGAGAGAATGCTGAGTTGCATCTTGTGTTTGGAGGAGAGAGAATGCTGAGTTGCATCTTGTGTTTGGAGGAGAGAGAATGCTGAGTTGCATCTTGTGTTTGGAGGAGAGAGAATGCTGAGTTGCATCTTGTGTTTGGAGGAGAGAGAATGCTGAGTTGCATCTTGTGTTTGGAGGAGAGAGAATGCTGAGTTGCATCTTGTGTTTGGAGGAGAGAGAATGCTGAGTTGCATCGGAGAACTTGCACAATTGGTGGCTGACTAAATACTTTTTTGCCCCACTGTATGTTAAAGAAATAATTACTGTCTTAACTTGAATTAAGAAAGGCAAGGTCAAAGGATGGTAAGTTTTTAAATGTGTGATGTAGTAATTTAATTTTTCATTTACCATGTCAGAGAAATAGCAAGAAGTGTGTGAGAATGATGTGAATTGATATATAGTAGTTTTGGTGGTTACTACTGTTGTGATTTGTTATACGTATATCCTACCTTTCCTCCAGGATCCCAAGTCAACTTATCTGGTTGCTCCATTTTATCTGCACAAATACAACTCTGTGTGGTACAATTCTGTGAAACAGTATTTGCCCCCTTCTGGATTTTCTGAATTTTTGTGTATCTTTGCCATGTGAGTTCTGCTGATACAAAAGGGAATCTGAGTTTGATACCTGCTTCATTTATTTCCTAAACAAAATAATCCTCCATGCATTGTGCCGGTGTGAAAAGGCAACTGCCCTTTTAGATACAGTAACTGAGTGCCGCACCTTGAATTCCAACAACTGCTGTCAAAGGCTTCCAGTAATTGGTAATTGCTGTCACATCACAGTATAGAAATGTTAACCCATTCTTCCAGGACAAACGGCTTCCATATAGTGGCATTTAACAGTTTTTCAGCATGAATTGCTTGGTTCTGATCTTGCCACAACATTTCTGTGGTTTAGGTCTGGTCTTGGATGTAACAGTTCTAAAACACTGGATTTATTATGCAAAGCAAAATTTATGCTTCTTTTAATGATGGCAAGTTGTCCAGGTCCTCAGCCAGCATTCAAATCCATGACGCTCTCACCTCCATGCTTGACAGCTAGCATGTGGTCCTTATTGTGGAATGCTCCATTTGGTTTCCTCTAGTCATAATACCTACATAGTCCAAAGAGTTTGTCTTTTGTCCACAGAATATTCTCCAGGAGTCTGAAGGGTCATCCAGCTGCTTTTTGGCAAACCTGAGATGAATATCAATGTTCTTCTTAGTAAAGCATGGGCCACAGCTTCTGCTCTTCTACTCTCCCATGAATCTCATGTTTATGCAATGTATTTTTGATGGTAGAGTAATGAATGCTAACTTCAGCCACAGCAAAGAAGGACTGCAGATCCCTGGGGTTCTTTGCAACTTCCTGGACATTTAGGCAGTTCTCAGAGTGATTTTTGACAGGATGGCCACCCTTGGGGAGATTTACTATTGTGCCAAATCTCCATTTCAAGCTTTGTGTCTAACTGTTGATCACTGCAGGTAGCTCCAGAGCTTTGGAAATGGTTTGTAATCATTTTCATCCATCAGTGACTTTTTTTTTTAGCACAGTGCAACATGTCTCTGGAGTCTGTATGATGAGAACTTCACTGTGATGAGGGGAGCCAGGTTTGTGAGGTTTACATAACACAGGGTTGGCTGAATCAGCCCTGATTGTTTAACGAGATACTCACACAACTGGTTCAAGTTCAAAACCAATGTAACAAACACTAAACTTGTATGTTACTTGTTCACTCAGATTCTTTTTATATAGGACTACATGAAACTCGAGTAACTTTCAGTGGAAATAATACACAAAAATTAAGAAAATCCTAAAAGATGTGAATACTTTTTCAGAGGACTTTATGTCATGAGGAGAATGATTGGCCCAAAGTCACCTGGTGAGTTTCCATGGCTGATATGAACTTGCTTGGGTCCTTTGATCATAGTCTACCATCTTAACCATTATATCACACTGGAATATTACTATTCACAAAAATTTCCAGTAGAAGAAAATATTTATATCTGAAAGAAAGACATTTCTGAATTGAAGATAATTTACTACCTCAAGGAAGAATAGATAAAAAAAGCTATAAATACAGACAAAATCATGTCTAATGTTTAACCTCTCCACCTTGTCAGCTTAGAGCTCCTAGCTCTGGGTCAAACAAATTTTGAAGATTTTCCCCTCCCCATTAAAAATATGCACGTGATTCATTTAAATATCTGTGTGCATATGTACACAGAGCCACAAAAATCTGGGCAACCACTTGGTAGCATCTAGTGTTATCTGGATTTTTTTAAAACTCAGATCCGGTATCCTAAATGTTCATGCACCTACTAAAGGTTATGCTTTAAAACTGGGGTGGGGTCTTTTAATAATTTTCCAGTAACATATTAACTAAATTAATAACTACTACTTAACATTAACTACCCGTAACATAAGGTACCTTTTATAAAATTAATTTTCATCTGGAGATATGAACTGTTCGCTCACACAAACCAAGAAGCATACAAGTACATATACACAGAGAAACGTTTCCCTCCCTTCATCCGGCACAGATAGCAAAAAGAAAGAAAAACAATTGGGAGAATCATGGGATAAGAGGAAAGGGTAGCTACTCCGGGAGAGGAAGCCAAGAGAAAGGGGGGAACAAAACTAGATGAAAATGAAGCAAGGGGAGGAAGTGATAGTACAAAGAAAGAGTTTAATTTAGGTGTTACAAAAAAGTCAAATTCACAAGGTAAAGGGCTACTCCCAAGCAGAGGCTAATCTTCAGGTATATTCAAAGGCAGCCTTGTTTTGTAAAGCTGTATTTGCAGCCATTTGAAGTCCCTTATTTTCAACAGCTGCTTCTCTTCTTCTTAGGGACTGAACTACTTCCCCCCATGCCCACTGAAATGTACAATTCACAATGAACTATTAGTCGAAAAAATGTCCCTTAACTTGCTCTATGCAATATAAGAGCCTACAGTTAATGCAAGGTACTCCTGGCATGCTGAAGTAGTTGCATAATTAGTTAAAAAGGCTGTTAAATTAAATCAAGGCAAGAGAATCCTTAACTACAATATTTGGTTCATTTTATCAGCAAAATTAATTCAAAGACCTTTATGATAATCTTTGATCAAAGCAATGAAGTCCAATCAGAGAAAAGCAAAATACCTCTGTGCCACATAAATGGAATGTGAATATTCAATAGTGGGGAAACTACTTATAATAATATTTTACCTTTTCCCATGAACAACAGCTCCTGGATCTTGAGATTTTGCTTCCAACTCCTGAACTTCATCTACTAAAGTCTTAAATGCTGCTCTCTTTACTCTAAAATAATAATTTTAAAAACGTTCAGTTAATTTGTTCTAAAATTCTACGTCTTTTATTTGTCTGTGAATATCAGTGTAAAATTAAATTTAATTCAGTAACATTAAATTCAATCCCACAATAATATTATTTAAGAAAGAATGTAAATTACACTTCAGCAGCCCACAGGGAGCTCAGATTATACATTTATTTTTAAGTTTAACCATTAGGGAACCAGGAAGTAAGATTTTCCAAAGAAGCATTCCATTCCAACGGTACATATGTGCTTTTGCTTTCATATTTTATATTATATTATTAAATTCTGATGTATATACATTGTTCTCTTCTGAAGAGCAATCTCAACTAACCAATAAATCTATTAGTAGACTAAGGAATCAATTCTCTATACATGTGCAAATCTAACTGAGCTTGTATTTAATTAAGTAGATATGCCAATAATTATACTGCATCATTAAATCTACTTACTTAGGAATATATCCCGTTGAACTAATGGGATTTCCTTCTGAGTAGCTGTGGAGGCTGCACAGTAATTTTAGGTAATTAACAAGTGGACAGATTAATTATTTTGGGGCCCATATATTAATTATATCATACTCACACTTTATATACTACATCAAATATCAGTGCTGTCATTGGAATACTTAATAAGCCCATCCAGAAGACTCCGGAGCTGAATAACATCACTGCCTACATAGATTTAAAAAAATATATATGTATATAAAATGAAACATTTGCAATGATATTAAATAAAATATCTGTGAAAGCTAATCTTCATAAATCACCTATGTGGAAAAATTAGGCCTGACCAGTGAAAATGTCAGCAAGGTTGCATGTATTTCCTGCAGAGCTTGAGAAGCTAAGTGGCTCTTCCTAGCTGAAGGAGAACCTCTTCGCAGCTGGAGGTGCACTTCATTGCCTGGAGATGAAGACCACTGGCTGGCGCTGCATGAATCTCCCAGAAGTGGAACGGGCAGGGATTTGCCCTTCGATGGGAGACACGGTCCGGTTTTATATACGTTACACCTAAAAGAAGACTTGCGTACCTTTGAAGATTTTTTTTTTCCTCCTGAAAAATTTACCTGGCTACTTGCCATTAAAGCTCAATAGGAAAATTTCTGTGGGCTTCTGGAACATTGTAGTGTTGTAATCATCTTCCTCAGGATAGCTATTTTTAATAGTTTGTAAGCCGCCCAGAATCACTGGTGAGTGGGCCATTTTAGAAACTGAAACAACAAATAAATGCTTTTTTGGGAAGAGAGGTATAGGCAACCTGTTGGGTACAGGTTGTTCCTCTCTGTTCTAGGGATATTTTTAATGTGATTTTTATTACGATTTTTGTTGCACTGTCATTATATCATTTTACTGTTTAATACCACTGCCTTGAAAAATTCTATAAAGTAGTATAAAATATGCTGAATAAAATCTATAAAACAGTTGCTGGTTAACTGATAGCTTTTCATTTACATTTCATAATCCTTTATTCACTTTCCAGAGAAGTAGACAGATTATGTGAAGATACTGTAATATGTGAAAATACAGTTAAGTTCTTCATTAAAAGGAGAAGTTTATGAATGAAATTTCCAAGATATTTTAAGTAATTTAGAGGCTCGGGGCTAACTACACGCGTTCATATTTCTTATTAGCTCCAGACGTACTTGTATGGCAGCAGAAATTTCAGGTTTCTAGATGATAGAAACACACAAACAATATTTAAAATAAAATGTTGATTTAAGATGTTGGAAATTAGTCTCTGGCATTGTGTCTATTGTTCAAAATTGTTCTATGTGAATCCCAGTTCATAAAATGACAAACAGGAAGTCTCTATGTGGAGCTTTTAAAAACTTTTAAACTCTTCTGCTGAATGGCAACAATATATGATGCCTCAAAAGCCACTAGCTTGGATCTGAAAATGCTCCTGGAAGAGTGGAAGGCTTGCTAATCCCCTCAAGCTGCAGCCTGCGGGCCCCAAAATCACTACAGAGAGACCCTTTTTCCCAAGGCAGGGGGAGATGGGTCAGGGAGTGAAATTAGTGCCCCCTCTTGTGTAGCAGTGATGTATTTTGTGCTTTGAGAATACATTTAAATCTAACTGAAGGTTTATTGATTGGACATAGCTCCTTTGTCTTCATCAAATAACAATATGTTAATTATTTTGCCCATATGTAAATTATAAAGAATAGCTTGTGACTTTACAGGTGGAATGGAAGCTATTCTTTGTAATTTAATCTAAATATTATGCACAGAGAAACAAAGGATGCTCACAGAATGATAACATATTAAAGAAAATAGGACATTTACTGTTCTAAATACATTGCATAAGTACTAAAGAAGAAAGGATGAGTTGATATGTAGCTTCTAATGAAAAAAAGCAAGGCGTTAAAATAACATACCGGGTTGATTTCTGAATTAAAAATAAAGGCAGCAATGGTGGCGATTTAAATAGAATTCCTTTATTTTTAAATGATTCTTAATGACTTTTAAAGTTAGGGAAACCACCAAAGAGCTGTCATTGTGTAAGCCCCCCTGTATTAAAAGTTGCTTGGTGAAACAGCAGAATTGATCATGTAGGTCTCAGGATGTTAATTCTGACCATTGTAATGCTAACTATGAATGGAGGAACAACAGGCGCCTACCATTCAGTCAATCCAGCCTTTGGCTTTACAAATGAGCAACGTGAATTGAAGGGAAAAACGTTTTTCTGCATCATATTTGAAAGCCTGTCAGATTTTTTCCCGTTGCAGAGTTAATCCAAAACTAAAAGATTTAAAGCTGACATTCACATTAAAGACAGAAAGCTTCTTTGTATATTTGGATGAAGAGGGAGAAAAATACAATCCCACAAGAAAGCTCCCTCCGGGCTCAGCTGAACCATTTTTGTCTCTAACTTTTCACATCTCTCTGCACAGAGACAGGTCATCTGGGAAACGGCTAACCGATCCAGCTTAGACAATGGTGCTAACAGGGACGGCCTGTCCCGGGGATGGATTCTGTCTGCCTTTTTGCAATTTACAAATTCATCGGCAGCGCATGCCAAGTCTTCTCTGCCCTTGCCCCTTTTGGCCTTGGGAAATCAAATGGGATCTGCTGAAACAGTGGCTCGGTCCCAATCACAACTGAAAAATACAAATTTCCAATTAATTGGCCTTAACTGAACTGAAAGTTTTTAAAACCTGTTAAATGAAAATGTCCCTCTTAATTTATTATGTATAAAAACTGATACTCAGAAACATGCAAGAAACATTTAACTATTTAATTGGAGGAATTTAATCAAAGTGCTGAAAGGTATCATTAATATGACAGCAAATGATGTTTACAGAAATATATTTATATATGATAATCCTGAAGTCTTCCCTGGGGTGTAGCTGCCTCAGTGCTTTAGGGGAGGTAGTGTGCACGCACTAACTTATTCGCAAAATACCCTTTGAATGCTGTGCATAGCCGATCACCAGCATATATATAAGCTAACTTTAAACGACCAAGTAGATACGTTCCATAGCCAGAGAATCTCCACATCCCACAAGGTTTGAACTTGCTGTTACTTTAGAACTAACAGTGGACTTCTTACTTGAATTCTACTAGTTTAAAAATCTAGGCCAGATTGTACTCTCGTATGTATTAGGAAGAAACACTGACAAATGCTGGCAATTCGTGGCTTTATGAAATAAATCCATGCAAACTGCGATGAATCCCATCATCGTCTTCCATCATTACAAAATATCTTCTTGACTATATCCAATATAACTTTTATGCACTGATGATTCAATTATTTTTTAAAAATGGTTAAAGGATAAGCTGCTTTTCCTGATTTTTAGCTACAGGGATGAGGAATCCCCTTTTTATGGAAAAAAATTCTCTTTTTATGGAAAACCCCCCTTTTCATGGAATTTCCCCCCCCCCCACTTTTTATCCCCTTTTTACCTGAGGGCTGCACTTTCTCTTGCTTAACTTAGAAGCCACACAGGGCATGGCCAGTGACATCATGCCTTCACCAAAATGGTTGGAACTAAGTTTTTAGGACTTGGGTGTTGAAGGCCAATAGGAACTGTAAGTCTTATAGGTGCTTAAAAGCTAACAACCCCGCCCCCGCTCCCCCCAAAAAACACAAATAAGTTTGACTTCCTTAGTTTTTCACACTCTGGAGAGTTCTGGAGATTGTAAATGGAGTGTTGTAGATGAACTCTTTGTGCTTCGTGAAAACACCGTTCCTAGAAACTGAAAAAATGCTGTCCTGGCTATGAGTGTATCTGCAATCAACCAAGAGTGCTTCAGCAACTGCAACGCTAAAGTTAGGGACGCAGGGCGACGGCCCTAATTCAACAGACCACAGCAGTGACTAGATATTGCAGTCCACAGGTGACTCATTGTTAATGCATACAGATGAAGCTGGGCTGTAGCGACAACTTAGGGCTGACGCTGGCATACCAATTATCATTCTGCTTAGCAGCAGCTCTGCTGCAACCCTTGGACCTTATAGCTGGGCTCATGTTGGGACCCCTCAAACTATTAGTGCTGGAGAATTTCAATCTCCATGCCCTGGATGGGATCAGGAATCCATGGCTTCTATGGAAACCAAGAGCTTTTCCCAGGTCGTCTCAGGCCCAGCACATATATACACGTGATGGGAGACACTGGGCTAAGTCCTTTGCTGCAGTCAGTTCACTTTCTAGTTAATATGGAAACTGATCTCTGCAGAAGTAGATTGATTAGGATGGTGCGTCCCAGGCACCTGATGACTTTTCAGGCTTCCTGAAGGCATTTGTGGATTTCCCCATTGATCTGTCAGGCAGGAAGATTGACAGAAGAGGCTCCTAGAGCATGGGGGCAAAGGATGAAGGCATGACTAAATATGGTTACATACTCAGGGTTGGGTCTCTATTGTGACAACAGAAATGGCAAAGTGGTTGTAGTTCTTTGCTCTTGTTGCAAAGGTGTGGATTCTTGCCCACCTGCTTTGTTCAAAGTTACCCACATTTTATGGGAGAACCAGGTTAATGCAGAGGCCGCTGGATTGAGATTCAGCGTGGATAAAATTATTCATGTTTGCTATGGATTGTACCCCACTATGGATTGTACTGAAAAAGATGTCTGGGGCAACTTTCTGCACAGTCATCTGGGATTTATTTTAGCTTCAGGAATCTGAGGAGTGAATAAGTTTTTTTGTAGCATAATCTCTGCCACACATGGGCTGGATCTGTGCTCTGTCTCCTTCAGGCAGCCAGAAATGTGTGTGCAGCTGAATTCAGAAGGTGATTAATGACTCTTAGTAGTACGCACAAACCAGAAAATGTGTTTTATTTTGTCCACCCACATAGACTCTCCCAGCTTTGGAGCTCAGAAATTCAGTTGGACCATTACAGCATGTCACAGTCTGGCCAAACTAAAACGAACATTTTAGTTGCTCTGAGTTTTGTCCGAGAAATATTTGGGGGTGGTCTTAGCATATATAGAAGGCTGATATATTTTGCTCTTTCCTCTTTTCTGCATGGTCTATGTGCCAGCCTGTCTGTTGTTCTTCCCACTGCCTTATTTTCCTGTCACAGCTATGCCTGAATTCAAGCGTGGAATACCAGACTAGCCCATGAATTCCTCCAGTGATTTCTCCCCAATTGCTTCCTTTCCCATAGTCATTGCTGGTGAGCTTGAATTCAAATGCAGCATATCCTGACCCATGCAACCAGCCCTCTCCCATCTTCCCAGTGCCTTTCTTTCTTGTAGCTGCTGCCCTACCCAACTGACTCATTTGCCCTTCTCTCTAACCTTCCCAGTGCCTTCCTTTTCCTAATCAGTGCTTAGCCACTGCTACTAGGTGCTACTAAAGGCCTTGTGGTTTCTCATCTTCCACCTCAGAACGCCTCTCCCCAGTATAAAAGTGTTCCAGGTCCATGCTCAGATCAAGGAGGTGTTTTGGTCCAGGCATGGACTACCCAATACTTACTGTTTCATGCACAGTACCACCCTTGCAAACAACATTCTGCACTCAGTTACGGAGGACCTTTGAGTCAGGGTTTACACCTGGGCACAGTTTGCTCTGGTTGATGATCTGCATTGGGACCCAGATGGAGGAAGTGTATCCCTCTTGGTCTTAGACTTTTGGGCAATGTTCAATACTATCAATTATGCTATCTTTCTGGACCACCTGCAAAGGTTGGGGGATGGAACATTGTTTTACAGTGGTTCCATTCCTTCCTGAGTAGATGGTTCCAGTCAGCAGTCATGGGGAAGGAGAAATTTGCTCTAGGATATATATATATATATCTTATATATATTATAGGAGTTGGCTCTCTCCCCATGTCATTTAACATCCACATCAAACTGTTGGGAGAAGTCATCTGTTGGATTACAATAATGCCAACGGTACTTAGTTATACACCACCTTTTCAGAATCAGTTGGAGATGTAGCTCTATTCTGGTCCTGAGATTAGCTGTGGACAGCTTTCCATTCTATCTGAGGGAGCAAGTCTATGATTTTGGGGTTTTCCTAGACTTATGGCTTCAGCTTGAGCTGCCAGAGGAATTTTTGCCCAGCTTCACTGGTACACCAGTTATGTCCCTTCTTGGACTAGACAGACCTTACGATAGTGACTACATACTTATCATTATGTGATTAGGCAACATTTTCCATAATTAGTTTCCCATTGCCTTCTTCCTAGGCCTGGAGAGAGACTGACTGGAGCTAAGTCAACCAGCTGGCTTCATGCACAAGACAGGACTAGAATTCTCAGTCTCTCAGGTTCTAGTCCAGTGCCTTTAACCATTTCACCAAAATGAAAGATTGGCTCTCCTAGAACCTCTACTCAAAGAGAAGTGAAGGGGATGGGGCCCCAGAAGCAAACCTCAATGGCAGTCCTGGCATTATGGAACAGCTTATCCCATAGGTTCATTTAGCCCCCACATAACTGGTCATGAAAATGATCCTATTTAGATAAGCATCTAATGGTGGAGTTGACGTTTTTTTTTTTGCATTGTGGATTTTAAAATTTTGATTGTGATTCACATTTTTAGATTAACCGGATGATAGATTTTATTGGGAAGATTTGAGGAATGATTTATTATTACTACTTTTATCATTGTCAATTACTTTGAGTCCAGTGTACTAATTAACCAAAATCAAAATTCTCTAGGAATGTAGCATCATGGGTACATTTCATATTGATTATGCCAATTTTGGCTGTATTGAAAAAGAGTAGGAAAAAAGATTAAAATACTTGACAAGGAAAATATAAATAAAGAAATAATTTATATCTACTTTTAGAAATGATGCTAAAAGAAACTCAGTATCTGCAAAACTATGGCATTTGAAATTGAATGTGGTATTTTTTATGTATTCTAAAATATACTCTGTTTTATATTAGCATTTGCATCAAAACACCAATACATATCTCTGGCAAATGCATTTTTACCTATGTTCTTTCACCTTTTTTGACTAGCTGTCTTGTACCATTACATGGTCCTGGTTTATTTTTACTGTGTTCGCATTTGAACATTCTAAAATATTTTCATCATCATTCCCTAGAGATGATTCTTCAGGTTTCTGTTTAAATGCTTTTCTGAAACTTTTTTAACGTTAGGTGTCAGCACTACCATGACCTGAGGTTGTCCAGGAGAACTCCTAACTGTTGACAAGTTTTAAATCATCTCTTGCTTGAAAGAAAAATTATAATACATGTTTGCAAAGATTTATATGTTAGTTAAAAGAAACATTACCTCTCCAGACATGTCTGGTGCCATAGGAATGATTGGCCATAAAGAAGAGTAGATGCCAAAAAATACTACCCAGAGTGCAATGCTGCCCCATATAGCTATATGACTAAACTGAAAAAAAGAAAAGAAACTGTTAGTAAATGAATACTTCTAAAACAGTTATATATATAAGGAAATAGATATGTCTGTTATAAAAACATTACGCATTAAAGTCTAACTTAAATTTTGCTCCCTTTGAAAATGTCAAAACATAGCCTGGCTTCTCTTTTCATCTAAACCAGTGTTTCTTATTTTTTTAAACTGTTTTATTGTATTGTGTATTGTCGAAGGTCCCTTTGAAAATGTCAAAACATAGCCTGGCTTCTCTTTTCATCTAAACCAGTGTTTCTTATTTTTTTAAACTGTTTTATTGTATTGTGTATTGTCGAAGGACCAGAAAAATCTGCAGTAGCTGAACATGCTCTCAAGCACACTGGACACAAAATCCTATTTGAAAACACAGAGATACTGGACAACACCAACAGCCACTATACCAGGCTATACCGGGAAGCCATTGAGATTCACAAACACCAGCACAGTTTCAATAAAAAAGAGGAGAGTCTAAAAATCAACAAAACCTGGCTACCAGTCCTGAAAAATACAGACCAGAAAAATCTGCAGTAGCTGAACATGCTCTCAAGCACACTGGACACAAAATCCTATTTGAAAACACAGAGATACTGGACAACACCAACAGCCACTATACCAGGCTATACCGGGAAGCCATTGAGATTCACAAACACCAGCACAGTTTCAATAAAAAAGAGGAGAGTCTAAAAATCAACAAAACCTGGCTACCAGTCCTGAAAAATACAGACCAGAAAAATCTGCAGTAGCTGAACATGCTCTCAAGCACACTGGACACAAAATCCTATTTGAAAACACAGAGATACTGGACAACACCAACAGCCACTATACCAGGCTATACCGGGAAGCCATTGAGATTCACAAACACCAGCACAGTTTCAATAAAAAAGAGGAGAGTCTAAAAATCAACAAAACCTGGCTACCAGTCCTGAAAAATACAGACCAGAAAAATCTGCAGTAGCTGAACATGCTCTCAAGCACACTGGACACAAAATCCTATTTGAAAACACAGAGATACTGGACAACACCAACAGCCACTATACCAGGCTATACCGGGAAGCCATTGAGATTCACAAACACCAGCACAGTTTCAATAAAAAAGAGGAGAGTCTAAAAATCAACAAAACCTGGCTACCAGTCCTGAAAAATACAGTGGATGCTGTTTAGGTGGTTCAGGAACTTCTCTAGGTCTTCTTCATCCTGACTCCAAATTTTTTATCCTGTTTTATTGTATTATTTATTGTATCCATCCTGTTTTATTGTATTATTATAAATCACAAGTAGTATATTATATTATTTGGATACAGTAGCCTTTATACAGTATTAACTAGAGACTGTTAACACTTGAATGTTTAAATAACTTAAACCTTTAAAGATAAAGAAGATTATATTAATATTAGGTATAATTTCTAAAATGAGAATGTTGATAAGCATAAAGTTGTTTACATTTTACACATATAGCTTTGGATGTAGACCAGTGCTTTTCAACCTCAGAGACTTGAAGATGTGTGCACTTCAACTCCCAGAATTTCCCAGCCAGCCTGAGCTGAAGTTATTATCTTAAGAATTAACAATTGTGACCAACTCTAGAGGTGAAGGCGTAGTGATGATCAACAGGGATGACTGCTAATCTAATCTGAGACTCTGTTTAGAGTACGTTTCTTAGTGGTGCTTACAATCCTTCCTTCATCTCCAAATTACTTTACACCTTCTACAGTTTTAGGTCCTAATGCTGGCAATAAATGTAATCTAGCCAGAGTTAATACTATTGTATAAACAGGTGGGAATTTCAGTTCTGAAAGTGAGTCTAACTTAGATCTCAGTCTAACTAGATCAACTGCTGTACTGTGGGATTAGTAAATGTTGGTTGGTGTCATTCTGGAATAGAGGCCTTACGAGGATACGAAGTGATGCATTTTAAATCCATACTACTTCCAGAAGGAAGTGCATGGGCAAGGTCACGGATTCTGGCACAGCTATAGTTTGTTTTAGTAACGGATGCCTGAATCTACTTTGTGCCCTCACCCAAACAGACGAAACACTTAAAGTGAATTTTATTCCCACAGCTAAACATTTTTGGAAAAAAGGCTCGAGGCCACAGATTTTAACCAAAACAAAGGGGCTTGTTTCCAAAGAAAAGGAAAACAGGTAATGTGAAAGCAATAACTTATTCTATTTTTTTTCCTAGTAAGTACTATAAAATAAAAGAGAGAGGTTCATCAAGAGTACAACTCACAGAGCACGCTCTCTATAAAGTTTCCAGTGTGGTAGTAAAATGGGAACTGAAGGGCTAGCGCTAAACAGGCACTTAGGGGTGGAACTCCTGCCAGTACTCATCAGTTAAAGAATGTTCCAGAGCATTAATCTGTGCAGGTATAAATTCATCAGCATCATGTACAATTAATTATATGTTGTCCCTCAGGGCTCCATTCTATCTCTAGTGCTTTTCAATACCGAAATGGAAGTGCTGGAAGAGATCACAATTCTGAAGCTACATGCCTGTATATGCTGATGATACCAAAATCTATGTCTCTGTAACATCTTCAGGTAACCATATGACTCCCTGAATGCCTGCCTACAGTCAGAAATGGGTTGGATGACAGAGAATAAATTGAAATTGAATAAAGACAAGACAGAGGTGCTCACTTGGGAGTGCTCATAATTCCAGGTAGGAGTCAATCCCCTTTATTCTATACAGAATTGGTCTCCAAAGAAACTGGTATGCAGTTTGGGAATATTTCTGGAATACTAGATTGGAGACACAGCCAGCAGTCCCCTTTATCAGCTTTAGTTTATGTACTAACTACATTCCTTTCTAGAAGAAAATGACCATAAAACTGTAGTGCATATACTGGTAACTTTCAGGCTTGACTGCTGTAATGTTAACTATGTGGGGCTCCCTTTGTGTCTAGGCAGGACATTTAACTGGTACAGCATCTGTACCAGATATTTCTGAATCTGAGTAGTTTTTTAAAAAGTTTGCCATTTGGCATCAAGCGCTACTATAAAAAAAGGAAGACTTATATTTGCCATATGAGGATCACATACTGTTCTTCTTTGTGTACATAAGGATTTGCATATAGATAAAAGATGGTATCTCTATTTGTTATTTGCGGTAAATTTGAATAAGCAAATGAAACACCCACCAGTAATTAAAAGTGTCACTGCATTGCATAAATTGAAATGAATGAACCACTATCATTTATTGCTTTATAATATTTTAAAAGGTATCTTACCAAAGTCCAATATGAAGTCTCTAATCCAGCTTTTAAACACACAGTTATTACCACAAACTAAAAAAAAAGAGAGAAATTACTTTTCTTTACCAGATATGTTTAACTCAGATTGAAATATGAGATTTCAAAATTAAAGGCCATTTTTAACACACTAACATTTCTATATACATAATTTAAGAAATTTTATCCAATAACCAATCCAACTTGGAGGATGTCTTAGATTTTTTTTCCCAGAAAGCCCTCACAAAATAAAATGCAGGATGATCAATTTTTGGCACCCAGTTTCTTTCAGGAAAAAAAAAAAAAAATCTTAAGGCTCCATTGCGTGTAACTATAATAAAATAATGTCATGGCAGATAACATGCCTTATGTACACTGGAAGGTAGTTTTGTTTTTTCTTTATTGTTTAATGTATGCTAAGTATATCTGAAGGATAATGCAACTGGTTACTTTGCTAGTAAATGAAAAATTATTGAGAAATGACACTCGAATATTTGATGATGAATTTCAGCACAATCTCTCCAGGGACTTTAGGTACACTTAATATGTAATACTTTTAAACATTAATATGAGTTTAGCTTTATAATTACAGCTTTAATATCATTGTTAATACTATTGTTAGACTATTATATATGCACAACAGGGATGTCATCTGAGATCAAGTTCTCTGTTGAGTTCCTTTCTTCTTATTCGTTGTTTGTTTGACTGACTCTGTTTTATGATGGTTATTGACTGAAATAAAGATTGCCCCACTTGACTTTTAATTCTACCCAGGAGGTTATTTGAAAAACCTAATTAATATCACAATTGCCTCTCTGAGGGAGAGCAGCCTGTCTGGTGGTTTAAAGAAAGCAATTATTAGACCTTTGAAGAAATCAGAAGAGGATTCCTTAAGGTTAGGCAGTTTCAGCTAGTTTCTAATGTCCCATGTTGGGTAAAGTAACTGAGAGAACAATGTCTTCTCAGCTACAAAGAGACCTAGAGGAAGCAATTTATCTCGACTCATTTGAAACTGATTTCAGAGTGGGCTATGGACTTGAGACTGCCTTGGAGGTCCTATTCAATGATTTTTGTATGAGGAGTATGGGTGATGGCCAGCTCAGACTGAGAAGAGCCTGAGATGGAAGAAGCTGCTTGAAGGTGCCCTGGACAAATGCCAGGCTTAAGGGGAGTCTAGCAATCAGGCACTTGAGGCTGACATGGCTGAGGAACATTTGGGACAGCTGGACACAGCAGAAGAAGAGGGGTCTGATTTGGGACTTCCCCCTAGAACATGCAGAGCCAAGCGCAGAGCAGAACAGAAGAGATCTCCATGGCTCCTTGCACATCAAGGACATTCCCACCCTTGATTGTCTGCACTTGGCATGGGTTCTATTTAAGAGTCGTCCCTGCCCATTAGCTCTCTGTCGGGAACAACTGTTCCACTTGTCTGAACTCTATACATTTGGCTCCTGAACCTGTTGCCTGAGAACTCTGCTCCTAGCCCTCACAGTCTCCAGACACCGGGATAGGATGTCCACACCACTGCTTAATTCACTAGGGGCAGAGATGTATATTTGGGTATCATCAGCATACTGACGATACCTCACCCCATGGTGACGGATGAGCTCACCCAGCAGCCTCATGTAGATGTTGAATAGAAGTGGAGAGAGCACCGACCCCTGCAGCACTCCACCCAGTAGGGGCCGAGGGTGGGATCTCTCCTCCCCAATCACCACCAACTGGAATCGACCCTGGAGAAAGGAGGTGAACCAGCACAACACTGTGCCATCCATCCCAAATCCTCTGAGTTGCTCCAGAAGGATACCATGGTTGATGGTAGTGAAAGCCACTGAGAGGTCAAGTTGGGCAAGGGTCGATGCACAACCATTTACAGCTGACGTCCAGGTCCTGCAGCACAGCAGTCTCCTGACTGATTATTCAAGTGATGAGACAGATGAATGAACACCTATGCATCCTAGGTACTTCCAGGGGCAACCCTGTTCCCTGCAGCATCCCCCCACCCCTTTTTTTTAATTATGACGAACCATCCTTCTGTATGTGAATGTAACTGATCACATCAATATGCTCTGTCCCTGCCACAAATGGTGCACATTTCAACATGAATGTTTTGCATTAAGAGCAGACACAAAGTCAATTTTAGTTTTGTACTCATGACAATGGCATTATTTAACAGAGTTTAAAATGCCAACTATAGCACATGCTGTGTATTTGGCTGTTAATCCATTTGTTTTGGATTTAATTTACCAGGAATGTAGAACGAAGCAATTGTAACCAGGGAATGAGCTTACAGGTGGAAGAGAAAAAAATTATAACTACATGGCTTACAGTGTAAGTCATAAGTAGGGCTCAGTAAGATCACTGCAGTGTCAATTGCTGTTTCCTGTTTAAGATATGAGCTAAATTAATAAGAGTAGAACTTACTGTATATACAGCATTTCCCAAAAGCAAGTAGTCTGAAGTTTTACCACTGGCAAACACAGTATCTATAAAATAATAACATTGGCAATATTAAATAAGACACTATGTATGGAATTTATTTATTTATTTGTTTTATTAGATTTACATGGCAGCCAACTTGCCAAGTGACTCTTGCTTCAAGAAAGAAAAGAGGGTAGCTTGTATAAATGAATAAACAACCAGCTACATTTACAGGTAAGCAACCATACTTCTATGTACATTGCACATTTGCCTGCTGGTGAGGAAGGGCTGGCTGGGGGTTGACTGGTGAGCCCTCTTCATCCCTGGTGGGAGGGGATCCTTGGGGACACGGTAGGAAGGGGAGTGGGGGTTCAGTTTTCCTCACAGTCTGTGGCTCCCTTTGTTCCCCCTCCCCCCAGCAAAGTGGCAGGCAGTTCCATGGGTCAGCCGAGGAGGAGGAGGTGGCGGCGGCTTTACTGGGGCGGTTACTGAGGGTTGTGAGGGGAGTAGAAATGGCATCAGCCTATATTATATGTGGAAAGAAGGATGACCCAATGGGTCATGGGTTGTCTAGTATTAACTTAAAAATAAATTTATTTAGGAAATTTCTATGTACTGTGAGATGTGGAGGAATAGACAGGTTGCTTGCCAGTCACTGTAGTTCTATGCATTTGCATCTGGACAAAAACATGTGTTGGAAATTTCTAGAACTGGGATAAATCAGGGATGTGCCTGCTGTTGAAATAAATTTCTACCTTTCCCCTCAGTTTCTAACCCCAAGAATACTGCAGGCTGCCAGGAGCCTTTCCAGGCAGCTATTTCAAGAAAGGAAGGAGAGCATTGTGTGTAAATGTACAACCACCACCTGAAGATTTATGAATTCAATTTTACTACTTTATTTTCCTTCTTCAACTTCTGGAAATATACTCTCCCCATTGTTTAAAAGTCCTCTGAATGATTATTTTGATTATTCTGTCTGGCTGATGAGTGGCTACACGAATTTGTTTAAAAATAAATAAATAAATGTTACATTTCTAGTATGAATGCAGTATTTTCAATTTTTTATATTTACTTACCATACTGGATGGCTTTTAGTGGAAACCAAAACAGGATTACTGAATGAAAGAGGCCATTTAAACAATGAACCCAGAAAACCTGAGCAAAAACAAACATTCATGAGAATCATTGTGATACAACTAACTTTGATCTTCTTTTTATAGATTTTTTTAAAAAAAAAATCAGATTTTTTTTTCAAAAGCCCCCTTTTAAAAGCTAATATAGCTGCAGCATTTTCTGCCTCACTGCTCTTCATGGGTCATTTATTTTTATGTATTTCATGTTTAATTTTTTGAACAAAATGAAAAAAATGCCTTTTATAGTAAAGCCAAAAACAAATGAAAACCAACATTTGCTATTCACAAACATCAACATTAAGCAGTTTAGCTGAGCACATTAAACATTTTTGATTTATACCACTTTCTTGATTAACATGGAACAAACACAGATAATACAACTATATCCAATATAAAAAGAATTATGTGCTTTTATGTATGTGTGTATGGAAAGAATCATAGCACTGAGTAAGTAAGAAAAAAACTTTTGCCACTTCTATAAAAGGGAAAGTTGTTTTGTACTTACATATCCCTTTACAAAACATAATCTTTATTGTGCTAAACAGAAACTTATTAACTGCTTCAAGTTGTTCAAGCAACAGAAATTATGTTGGCTGCCTCAAAAAATGTTCTACTCTGCCTGTATCCTCTTTGTAATATTATCTAACTAGCTAAGGTTGTACGATCCAATTTATGCCACAATACTTTACGTATCTGAACTTTTATGTTACTCATTAACCTCTGTCTCTCATTGCCAAAAAGTATTATTTGACAAAAAGCTCAGGTGGGGGCAAGAAAATTAGGGCTGCTTTTTTATTTTCATGATGAATACTTATTGTCACATGCTAATCCTTTAGCCTCTGTCCATGGCCCCATGAACTCTGACCCCCTTTATCACAATGAGTCTATGCATCATCATTTAGTGCAACAAAGATTCTAAACCTCCCGCGTATGAAACCCGGAACGTCTGTCTCCACAGCCGTTTGAAACTATGCATTCACAAAACTTACTTGAAATAAAAACAATAAGAGCTACGAGCCAGATCTGTTCCTAAAATTAATAGACGATTAAAACATTTAAAACTGAGTTGAGTTTAACATTCACTATTGTGCAAAACAAAACAAAACAGGACGCTGTACAAATAAAATCATTTAATTTGCATTCACTAAACTTTTTCAAAAATAATTATATGTATTAATACAAAGCAGTGTAACAAATTGTGACAGAAAACCTACTGAACCATTTTGAATTGCTGAATATTTCTTAATCTCTTGGATCTATCTGGTTTATACCATTATTTTATTATTGTAATTAGTTGAATAAAAAGGAATGTACAGAACTAACATAGGGAACATTTATTTTAAGAAGCTCATGAAATCTAAGCTAATTAAAGTTTTGAAGTGTTATAAATAAGTGGTATTGAAATAAAAACAAATAAAACCTCAGCCTTATTAATTTAAAACATGACCTGTACTATTATTTTTCTGTTAATTACAGCCTTCGTGACTGTAATAAAATCACAAACACTGGTCCATATTTAAGTGTTCTATATGTATTTCTGTTAGGTTTACAGTATTTATACCTAATTCACAGAATTATATATGGAAAAACATAATAGTAATAATCGCACAATCAATTATACTTGCTGGGTTACATAATTTAATCGGCAAAATATACCACCTCAGATTTCAGATTATAATTAGCTTTAAAACACTATTTAGTATATCGGTGTTAATTTGGAAATTGTACATCTGTTATTCTTTTTTTTTAAGTTTTTCAATTATTTACTATTTATTTAGTAATAATATGAAAATATTATTAGTAAATAATAATAAAATATGTAAATTTTATTATATTTGAGTGAGCTCCAAATGTAACCAAACCAAACCAAACCAAACCAAACCAAACCAAACCAAACCAAACCTCCATACAAATGTATTAAGGATTTGTTTGCTGAAGTTCCTTTCCACTACTTTTTACCACATCAAATCCTACTCTGGAAATTTTATGCATATTCATGAACAGCTTTTCTGGGGAACTAGAGGTTACAGCTGGAAGGACTAGCTAGCTCAAAAAACGGAAGAAAGACTGGATTTCATTTTATTGTTACTGGAAGCTTACTGAGATATACGGTACCATAATTATTAAACTTATATTTGAATTATTTGAATCACATTGTACTAAAATAGGATCAAATATGTGTACATTAAATAATTACAAATTTACTTAAATTCTTTCCAACTACCTTTGAATTGAAATCCAGAGCATTTTGGGAGGTCTTGTATAATTCAGGGTATTTTAGCATGTTTTCTTTGTGGCAGGATCTCTCAAATATTCCAAGTGTCAATGGAGGCATAGCTGTAAAGATCTAATGTGCAAATCAAATACAATAACATTTGTAGTAAACATTCAATATATTTTAATAATGTAATAGTTAACATTGCCAAAGAAATTATATATAAAAACTTACCACATTATAAAGTCCTATGCACCATCTTTCAAAAAGTATCTGTCCAGAAAATCCATTAACAAATGCAAACCATATCTGAGGAACAGAGTTTAAACATAATATCAATTTTATGGATTCAAGGATATCTTTTCTTGAATCAATAATATTTAAAAATGGGGGAAGTTTTATTGGCAGAAAAAATAACAAAAATGTGAAGTCTTAACCCTATAATTAAAAATAATTTTATTCAAATGTTGTATCCATTCTTTAGCCATATACAAATGTATTTCTGGATAAATTATTCAATACTGATATTTGAAATCTTTGAATTTGTTAAGATTGTACATAGTTTTTATACACGGTGGTGGTATCTGTGAAACCAGTATATGAGAAATGTGACTAACATGGAATAGTCAGCAGTTGACAAACTAGACTGGCAGGGGAGCCGTTCTGTGGCATCTTTTATGAGCTCTTAACAGCTATTCCCCAACTTGTATAGTTCCGGGCTATGATATGTAAGACTGGTATTTAGAGAGAAAAAAGAAAACATTCTGATTAAGGACAAGCCCTTGAGGATATCTGTCTTTGAGATAATGTTTTATCTAGATTATTTTGGATACAACATTATCTATGTGCATGATTCCTATAATTCCAACTCGAAGGATCCAAATCACTGAGTATTTACTAACCAAATATGTTCACAACAGCAACAACATTAATTTTCTCTCATGGAAAAGATGATAATGATGACAATGATATCTGTTTAACTTTTATTAGTTAATTGAGCACATGATTTCTTTTTTCTTAAGAGTACATTGGTATCCTAATGGATGTTAAATCAACACAATAATTGTTAAGGATAAAAAACCCCAAACAATATTATATTACTTGAATTTAATGCATTTCTCAGCAAAACTCTGTTAAAAGTTTTTCATATCTGAGGGTATGTAATTGAGTAAATGCAACATACTCATCAACTATTTGAATATTAGCAAAATTATATGTAAATTAAATTAACTGCGTATGATTAATGTTTTGATAACTATGCAATGTTACCATGTATAAGGCAATGCTTTCACAAGGCTCTATTTTCTGATTTTTTCATAAGTAACAGGGATTCTGTAGACACAACAAAAATAATACTTAACTAATCTTTAAAATATTAATGGTAGGTTTCACTTTCAACAGCTGAATTCTAAACAGAAGATTAACTGATAGCTAATATTTAGAGGGAAAGGAGAGGAGAGTCTGAGAGTTACCTCCCACATAATAATTAACATAAGCAAAACGATTAGAATTTAATACGTATTGGGCTGCATTGATTTAACTGATTTGTGGAATCAAGTAGATACAACCCAGTCCCAGTTGCTAGGGTTATACCATTATGGCTGTTAATGGTAGCCATAGCAGCAATACACTAAAAAAATAATAAAACTACTCACTTAACAAAAGCACAGCTTTCATATTCTATATACATACTTAATAGGATGTAAAATATTCAAGCAAAACACTAAATGTATGTTATGCATGCAACTGAATCCTTAAATATAAGCAATTATGTTCAGCATTTCAGTTTAGAATTTTTTCATCTAATGTATTTATAGTACAATTTTGCATTTTAATTGAAATATAAAATGTGACTAGATACCCCTTGTCAAGATTATTTTTGAAATTCCAAGAGGAAAAAAGAGAAACAAAGCAGAAACATAGAAGCTTCACATACATTTTCCTATGTTTCAGCATTGTAAATAGGAGTATAAGATTCTCACTAAGCTCCCTGCTCTCACGCTTCAACAATGAAAAGAGGTTCAGGACAGGCCGTTGTCCTTGCTACAGACATGCATATTCTGTCCATTCATTTATTCATTCATTATATTGACATAAGCTACTAACAACGGTATAAGCTGCAAAAGTTGAATGTAGGTTAATTGATTTGTAGATCATTTTGAGATACGTTTGAAATGTTTCAGAGACTTTCAACATCTTCCTTGAAAGAAGCAAAATGAACTAAAAAGTTAGAATTTTAATATAAAACAATAATAATAGTTACCAAGCTACTGATCTCTTATTGCTTAATTAAACTAAGAATGTCTTATGTTTCAGTCACCCATTTATTTATTTTAGTCTGGAAAAGAGAATATAAAATAGAAGCAAAAAAGAGAAATTTTGTGTGCAACTTTGTTAATTCTGGTGCCGCAAGAAAATCCCCATGTTTAGGCAGCATGGGGAACTTTTTATTTCTAGTGAAAACTTTCAGGGTTCTGGAGGAAGAAGTTGGGTACAGAAGGGATGGAAAAATTGCTATACAAAAACAATGTTTTGACTCGCAGTCTAAGTTAAGGATGTGCCGCTGCAAAATGTTTTATCCAGTAATGTGCCCTTAACTGTGACACTACTGACAGGAATTTTCATTAGAGAAATTAATATCCATTATATCAGAAGTAGGAAAAAAATCACACATGTCAAGGGAGAAGTTACTAGAAAAAGAGAAGTAGTCACTGAAAAAGAAGGTTCCACTGGAAGACAGAAAATATGTTGGCTTCATATTTTCAGTAAGACTGTTTATATTCAGGATGTTGTAATTCTTGGTCATAGAGTAAGAATAGTTCCAAAGAGGTTGCACAAAACATAAGAATGTACCTCCCCTCAGGTATCCAGAAAACAGGACATGGCATAATTTATTTGGCAAAGTAGGGATAAGATTTGTTTTAATTCATTGAAAAAAACCTGATATAGTAACTTATTTCATGAGATTTTAAGAGATTAAATATTGCAGGATGTATGCTTCTTAATAATTACCTGCTGAAGTATCAAATAAAAAATCTTTATGATTGTATTCATTGCTTGTCTCTGCTTTAATTTGTATTAATTATGGTATGTCATCAGGCCAACAAACCTAAACAATGCCAATTCCTCTTTGCACTGTATTTTATAAATCAGAATAGAAAGTAATGTTTTAAATGGTAAAGCCGTACCTTTCAATTAAGATGTGGGAAGAAAAGTCTGAGAGATTTTTGCAATCTCATTCTTACCTCAATAATGTAAAGGACAATATTCTTGTAGAAGCAGTATAAAATGCATTTAGCAATTCTGCTATAATTCCAGGCACCATGGACCAAAAGTAAGTTCTTCAAGTACTTGAACTGCAAACAAAAAAATTACATAAAGGGTTTAATTTCCTTTGCCAGTTAGAATCACGTTTTTGTAATGGCTTTTATATGCTTAACCAGTGGAAGTCCCTACCTGAGCTATTGAATAATCTGAAGAATTAGCTGCTTGGAGCCCTTCATTTCCACTAATGCCAACACCTACATGTGCTGTTTGTATCATGCTGACATCATTTGCTCCATCACCAATTGCCAATGTTACTACCTTTACCTGTTTTTTAACCATTTCTACAACATCAGATTTCTGAAGAGGTGAAACTCTACAAAAAACGGAAAACATTTTGAATATTGTTATTAAACTGTTTTATTTGCTTAAACTAAGACAAGAAAAAAAATCACAGTTGAGGCTTCTGCCTCTAAGTATATACTTCTGAAATTTTATTTAAAACTGCAGACAGAAATTTGCTGCATTCTTCTAAAAGCTACAGAGCAACAATGCAGAGGGGAGGGTTATGTGAACTTTTTCATCCTTGTATCAAGAAATGCCTGTGTGATACATGTCCTTATGTAAGTACCAGGATTTTCAATCTGCGTGAAAAGTCGTAGCCAAAAAAAATAAATCCAGACATTAAAATTTCACGATTAAACAAAAACGTATACAATACAGGTAGTCCTTACTTACTAACTGAACTGATGACGGTGCTGAAAAAAGAGACTGATGACTGGTCCTTGCAGTTGCAGCCATCACAGCGTCACCACGGTCACGTGATTGTAATTCGGGCGCTTGGCAGATGGCTCACATTTATGAAGACTGCAATGTCCTACATTCATGTGATCACCATTTGTGACCCTCAAAGCCAGCTTCAGACAAGCAAAGTCAATGGAGAAGCCAGCAGGAAATTGCAAGTTGTGGTCATGTGCCACGCTTAACAACTGTGCCACTTTGTGACAGAGTTGCTGGTCCCTAATGCGATCGGTAAGTGAGGACTACCTGTATGCAATATTTGTTTGCATGTATCTGGGGTTGTTTCTTATTTAGTCCAGTGACAGTTTTAATTCAGGTATGAAGACTTCAAATGCTGAGAAGCAAATTAACAGTCATTCACGATATGTGCACAGATATCAACGGACTACAGATGAGAAAAAGGCAGATGTTAACAGACAAGTAAATGAATATGATAGGACATAAAAAAGAATTTAGTAATATACAGGACAACTTTGCTTTTATGCAACTTTATATTTCTTCCTTAAGCCTGAAATGCGAGGATGCCATAAGTTCCTATGTAAAACAAACAGTTTCACTTCAATGTGGTAATTGTGTCAACAGTAGTAATTTTATCTTCCTCAATATTATCGCCATTAAAATCTCCTTTGTACAATTAATACCAGTGTTAGTCACACTGAAAGACAGTTGACAAACCAAGAGACATGTTAGTGAAAGTATTTCTGGATTTCACCAAAGATATGAAATTGTATGGCAGAATGAGAACATAGATTGCTGGATGTCAAAGATCACTTTTCTCGTCAACTCCTTTACATAAATAAGGTTATTTTTAAATACAGGATTTTTTTCTTCCTGGAGAAGCAGTCATGTAGAATTATGCTTCTACACTTTAAAAGGAAGCCATTATTTCCTAGGTCATTTGGTGTTCGAATGGCAAAATCTGGCAATAGATTTGATGTCACAATTTGTTATCAGTAAATTAAATATTATCAATAGATATTAACAAATGGGTACGAGGGCTAGCTAGGAAAAGGAGCTAAGAAAAAAAAACACACCCCAGTGCTGATTAAAGGTTGGTGCTAGGAAGAATTCCAAGGAAAACAAAAAGAACGATTACATTCCTAAGAATTTGTGATTAATGTTTGCACCATGTATATGGTATCTGAAGTTTACCTCATTTGCGCACGCTCAGTTATATAATAAATGAAAAGTGGATCACATCTTGGGCTCTCTGAGTAGGAGATTTTGCTCTCCTCTGAACTGTCCTAGGTTTTTTTCTTAATAGGTTTTGATGGGAAATTCTTAGCAGGCAGGAAGGTATGTCAAGGTGGGGTCAATTGAGAGGATTTCTAATAACAGGGGGCTGAAACTTCCCACCTTTCACCCCATGGGCTCGCTGCTGCAAGTGCTATTGCACAATTAATAGTGGCCTAGTGGTTGTTTCTTCAGTAAGTAGCATCTATAAGGATCTCAGCCCAGATGGAGACGGGCGGAGGACAAAGGGTTATGCTCCCTCGGCTCCCTTACTGGTTTTCCCCAGGGACGGTGACCCCGGGCCAGCTATGTACTGAACAAAAAACCAGTAGTAATGCTGATTACAATACCATTCTTCGGTTTTAGTGATAGCAGTCTGACACTAGTGTAGACATGACATAGTCCCCATCAGCTTGTACAACTTTACTGTACATTCAACGAAAATCAGAAAAATATTTTAGACGAATACTTCCTAAAATTGTATGAATGTTTTGCACTGAAAAAGAAAAAGATTTACCTGCAGCAAATGACAGCTTTACATGACAGAGCCAAATCCAAGAAATACTGCCTTACACCAAATGTCAAAGCGTACTTCAATGTTTTACCATCAATAATTAGCGCAAAATCATTTTCCTTCCTCAAAGCGTCACCAAGAGTGCTGCAGTGATGGCTTAATGTCTCTCTTGTTGCCTGTAAAATATCACAATAAGCACATGCATTACCTGTTTGTTGTTCTTATATTTCTTCCTACATTAAGATATTTATTTTAGTTTTCTGTATAACTTTATTAATATAATTATCAAGGCTAAAACCACAATTGAAAATACTGTAAAACAAAATAGCTACAGAAATCAACAGCAACAGTGATTTAAATCGGAACCAATTAAAAAAGGGAAAATAGAGCTGCCACAAAATAAAATGTAGCTTGGCTCACAATTAAAGTTGTCAGGGAGAAGAAAAAGGGTTTCACCCAGCAAATATGAATGATGATGCTTCTTATACAATACTTAATACGTGATCACACAACCAGGTTCCTATTTAATTGGGTTTGGGTTACATTAATGTCATTTATTTCTGTATTATTTTGTTGGAAATGTGACTCCTTTAATCACTTTTTATAAACTATGCATAACTGTAAAAGTAATATGCTGAAATTCTATCTATGTTTGCTTCCTTAGAAATAAACCCCGTGTTATTTTTGTCAATGAAGCTCTGTAACTCAGTGGTGCCTTCTAGTGGACATATAAAGATTCATCCCATTTAAAACCAAGTTGAAAGAATTTGCTAGGAGATGAAAATCTATTTAACTAGATTGATCCACTTCTTTTTTCTGGTAAAATTTAGTAAAACAAACATGCAGGACACATTATCATTGTATTTTGCATTTTCCTCCAAGAAGAAACAAACTACTGCAGTAGAAGCCCAAACATACTATTGCACCATGTTTTTATCAATCCTAGGAAGAAACAGCTGGGATTACATTTATTAGGAAGATCCTGGCATTCATAATTATAACACACTGCAGCACTGATTGCTAGTGATCTATTTTTCTCACCCTCTTTTCTGTCTTCTAAACTCAAGGCAACCATTACTCTCCTCCTCAAGAACTTCAGTGTCTATTCTGATGCCTATCGTAGGCATTGTTTAGGATGTATCTTGGTCTCTCCCCAACTTGAGACATTTCAGTAAAATGCAATCAAATTCGGAGCTACTGGAAAAACTCTTTTGATACAAAAATGCTGACATACTATCATTTCACTTTCATAGCTCATAAGAGGCTCTCAGGTATAATAGAATAGTATCTTTGTAGCCAAGAAGGCTCCCTCATTGCAAATCCTCCATGTTCTTCTTCTTTTTTAAATAATCAGACAAAAGCACACAGCATGTACTGAGAACATGGTGGAACGAAGGTTAGAATTTTAAAAATAATTTTTATTTATTTCTCTTGTATATGCAATGGGGATCAGGAGATTCTTAACGTTTGAGAATCTGCAGTAGCTCAGGATGCGGAATAGTGATCAGATGACATCTTCTGCACTCTCCTATTGATTAGCTGAAGGACAAGCACTGATTGGCTCATGCTGTTCCCTGCATGTTTTCTATATTTTGAGATCAGAGGAAGTGAAGATTGAAATAAGGTTTCCAACTGCTTTATGAGGGGCTGGGACAGGAAGTGGCATGGTGGGGAACGGGTATTAAATTAATCTTCACAGGCAATATGAAATCCTGTTAAGAAAACTGCAAAATGACCTTCTGGTGGTCACCTTTCTAAAATGTGTAGAGCCTGATTTGTTCAGTTAATACAATGTTATCATCCATCTTTCAGTGGTGTTCTTCAACTGTTAGGTATTCAACCCAGATTCTTTCTGTATATACAGTGGAGAAGAATGCCCTCTGTCACAGATTACCAAGTCTCAAGAAAGAAGAAAGAGTGTGACCACGTGCCACTGGGAGGGGAATTTTAGTCAAGTTCTGCTCCTAAGCAAAATGTCCCAAGAGAATGACATGTGATTTTTCCCGTTTAGCCCAGTAGCTTCATATCAACGTTTTCTAAAGTGTAATTTTCAGAAACACATTTAGATCACACAAGAAAAATGCTTTGCGGTTCTATGCTTCCTGTTAATCAGAATATAAATAATTAATCCATATTTATTTCTTGAAATATTTTTAAAACAGTCTATGCCCAGTACATAGATTCAAATATTAGGTTATACTTACATCAAGAGAGCCTTCATTTATGACAATTAGCCCCATGTTCTTTCTCAAGAGTTTACAGGAATGTCCTATTAGGAAAAAGTATGTTATTCTGTCAAGATTTTTAAAAATTGTAATTGCAACACATAAAAATATAAATGTGACTTCTAACACTGTGACACTAAAATGCAAGAATGTTGTGTCCTGGATAAAATAAAATGGCATTAAGTTACTATATGGAAGTGCGGTGGGGAATTCAAGGGCACTTGAGAGAATATATATTTAAAGAGAATGCTAGAAAGTTGGGAATTCTGATTCTGGTTAAACAAACGACACACAAAATAGTGTATTGTATCATGCTTTTATAGAACATATTCAGCCAACATTCACCAGCTTTATATGAAAAAATACGTTAAACCACAGGATAATCTCTTAAGAGGGTAACTTGAGTCAGAAGCTGAAATCAAATGAGATAAGAATCAAGTGTAGATTACTGATCTGGGACCATAAATAAATGAAATGAGGTGTAAGTTCGAGGTCCCCTCCTCACTGCACTGTTTTTTGTGTTGTTTAACCAGAATCTCTTTATATATTAATAGGAGTTACTGAAATTCAGATCACAGAACTGCAGGATTATGGATAGTTTCAAAGGATTTACAACATTTCTCACACCATTGTAAATGCCAATATTCTTTATGTGACATCTACTTGACTCTGAATTATTGAACAGAAAGAGGCTTATGGGGCAGCCACATTGCTATCACAATATTAAAGGGAAAAGCCAGAAATGAGAGACCTGTTGAAACTTTTCTGGGGAATTTTATGACCCTTGGTAATGACCACTTGGTAGATTTCATGAAGCTGCCACTTGGTAGTTTAGCCTTTAATTAAACTATGTAGTATGTATGGGCATTATTAATTAATCAATAATTAATCAATAATATCTATAAATGTAACGACAATATTTATGCAACAATATCCAATATTGATAATTAACATAATATATCTGACATGTATACAGTATTTAACACATTAATTATTTATTTCTATTAATTATTAGTTATTGCTATGTTTCACTCTGTGATTGCTGGAGTTGTATGAAACCAGGACATAACCTGTTTCTTCACTGGCCCAGAATTGATCTCACATGGCCTCTCCTTCCTTTCCTCTAGTTAAAAACACCCATTTATCCAGTAGCCAGCCAGGGCCTCTCTGGCTGGCTAGGCTTCCCTTTCTCAATAACCAGGAGGTATCTCTCTAAATGTAGACCTGTATCGGAAGGAAATAATCTAAAGAAGTCCTGAATTATTCTGCGCAGATTTAAGTTTACCAACTCTATTAACATATTACCAATGTTAATGGCTGTCTCTTGCTTGTCTCCAGTAAGAATCCAAATTTTGATATCTGCTTTCATTAGTGTTTCTATTGTTTCAGGCACTTGGTCTTGTAGCTTGTCTTCTATGGCTGTAGCTCCAAGTAACTGGAGATTCTTCAAAAAGAACGTATTAGAGAATTACCACCTTTTTTAAAAAAAACCAAACCAAACCCAAGTACGTAATAAAATATTATTTAGAATTAGGATCTGGTACTAGAGCAAACACTCCTTAAATTAAAGTACTTCCAAACAGAAGATTCCTAGTATTACAGTGAGGTGGCCCTCTGCAGCTATTCCATCTTTCCCTTCTTAACAATGCTTTTTTCTTGCAAGAAAAAAATTGAAAAACTGGGGGACAATAAAGGAGAGCTTCAAATTTAAGATAATGATGTCCAGACTTATGTTTCCAACAAAATTCAGGAAAAATGAGAGGGAGATTACATGTTTAAAGTTTTATTTAAGAGCTCTCTAAATATACTTTAGAAAGTATAGTATTTAGAAATAGATTGATATATTTCACTGGTAATGAGCTGAGTGTCTGTAGCAATAAAATGATAAAAAGGAGCAAATTATCAGGACTGTTATACCTTTGAAATCATTTCTGGAAATACATGCATTTTGGTGGAAATCAACCACGGAAATTAAAAGAGGGTTTTCCCCCTTTTTGTTTTAGGATTTTTAAGGATATTGTCAAGGAATTTAATAAGGACAGGCGTTGACTGAAGATGGTTTTCAGCACTAAGGACTACTCAAATTGAAGTACTAAGGCCTAAAGGACAGTGGCCACAGAAATCTGTTTCTAACCACCATTACAGCAAAATTATGAAGTATGCCTCATGAAGACTCAAAGCAAACTTCAGACTCCCCATATTCACATTGTGACATGGACCACCTACTTTTTCAATTAGTTCATAACTCTCTTCAAGTTTTAGTGCTCTGTTTTGAATAGAAGCTGCAGCTCTTCGATACACATTCAGCCACTCCTGATAATCACTTTCTGAAATCTCAGCAACAGCAAAACAGAGTGTTCTCAAACCTATAGAAATAGCGACATATTCACATTCAGTAACTATTCCTTCTCTATAATTTTGTAACTTTGGATTCAACTAGATTATAGGCAAAAAGTTCTTTTTCTTCGAAGTCTGCAATCAGACTTAGAATTCGGAAATATAATTTTTTTCTGAATCTTTAAACCAGCAACAGCAACTGCAATAATTCTATCATAATTTGCTACCCAGGGACATAGAAATACCAAATCAACAGAAAGTAGTATTATCAAAGCAATCGTTTAAATACATATATCATAACCCACTGCTGGCCTGTGGTGGATTACTGCAATACATTCTATATGGGGCTGACCTCGATGAGCATCTGGAAGCTGCAGTTGGCGCAGAATGCTGTGGTGCAGGTAGTTACGAATAAGCCTCAGTATGCACGTTACTCCTCTGTTCCATGAGCCTCACTGGCTTCCAGTGTGCTTCTAGGTGTGGTTCGAGGAGCTGGTGGTCACCCATAAAGCCCTTCATGGCATAGGCCCAGGTTATTTGTGGGACCATCTCTCCCTAGTTGTTTCTACCTCTCCTGTTAGATCCAGCAGGAGAGGCATGCTGTGGGTCCCATCAGTTAAAGAATGTCATTTTGTGGACTCAGGAAGCATGGCTTTTTTGAAACGCCATTCCCCCTGCAGTAAGACTGGTCCCTACCCTGCTGGTTTTTTCAGCAGGCTGTTATGATGTAAATATGTTCCTAGGCAGGAGGGCCAGAATGTTAGTTAGAGCCCACGTATGGTTATTATTTGTTTAGACTGCTTTGGCTGTTGTTTATTTTTATATTAGGCAATTGCATTATTTTTAAATGCTGTGAGCCACCCAGAGTCGTGAGATGGGTGGCTGTACAAGTTTGCTAAATAAATTAACAAACAAACAAATAAATCCTCCCACCCGCTCTCATAATCCTGAATCAGTGTCAAAGTTATGCTAGTATATAACAGTTTCCGCTCAATATCTAAATCGGTGTGTACAGATATACCAACATACATGAGAACTATCTTAACTTTCCAACTTCATCACTTGTCTTCCTAAATATCATATCTTAGTGATATAGAAAAAAGTCAAGGTATTTAGAACAATACCAGCCAAAACAAAGAACCTTTAACTAAAGTTAAAATATATTTAGGGAAAAATGGATTAAAACCTACAAAAATATAAAAATAAACACTGGAATAATATGCTAATTTGGGTAGCACTCTAAATTTATATAAGGAGAGAAAAAAAAGGAAATGATCAACCTTTTGCTATGGGCTATTATCTGCACAGACATGAGAACCAGCTGATCTGCAAGCAACTGGTTGTTACTAATCTCTTCTTCCAAGGAAGTCACAATCTTTCTTATGAAAGAAAAAAAGCCATGTTTCAGATACAATAAATAGTTTCTATATACTTCAATCTGGCCAAAGAACTGGTGTTTGTTCATAAATGGTCTTCCTCTTTGCTAATTGTTGCACATAATTTCAAATTGATATTTTCAAAGAGGCAACATCATATGTTGTATGCAATGTTTTTCAATCACTTGTTGACAAATTAGAATTAATTAAATTCAGAGAAAATAAGCAACATGCAAAGTGTTTATTAGAGTTGAAAAAAGAAAAAAAACTTCTATTTGGCACTGGACTATGTGAAATAAAGGAAGGAATAAAGGAATGTTTTAAAGTAATTACCAAGCAGAATACATTTATATCATTACTATTACCTCCATTATTTATTACAATGTGCTATTATAATTAAATAGTAATACTGTACTCACCTTCAGTAGCAAATAGCTCTAAATGTTTCAAGGTAATTTCTTTGTATCTTGAATTTTCAGCCAGACGATCATAAATTACTGTGTCCTATAGTAATAATTAACACATTGAATGAAAATTTATTTTGTTGAGCATTAAAAAAATTAAAAAGCAAAACAAGGCCAGAAGAATGACATTTTTAAAATGTGAAGTATAGTAATGCAGTTAATTACCACTTATTTACTTAAAAATGTATATCCCATTTTCCATAAAAGGTTCAGCATAAGGAAACAGAAGAATGTTTTTTTAAAATCACCACTCTGTAGCAAAAACTTCTATATTTTTATACTAGTGCAAAGGCTGATTGAAAACAATACTGTATGTAAAAATCCTTTACAATTTTTAGTGGATTGTGAACTATGCATTGGATGTGTACACGAGTTATGGCATTTGTCTTTCAGATGACTGCAACAATATCTACTATTCTTTTAGAGTCTATGTTAACGCTGTATTATCCTAGATTAGTTTATTTTTCAAAAGGAGCACTGAAATCACTTATTCAATTCATTGATGTAAAGGTATTAACTCCTTTGAATCAGGCTCAACTCCAGGTAATATAGGGATACAGTGAAGGGATCTCACTGCCTCATTCTGGCCACTAGCATCGAGACAGCCTAAACCAGTGTTGTCCAAACTTGGCCACTTTAAGATGAGTGGACTTCAACTCCCAGAATTCCCCAGCCAGCAGGTAGCTGTCCCACATCTTTTTCCTTCCTTGACTAACTCTTCTCTTTTCTGATACATGTTCACCTGCTTTGATGTAGTATCAGTACCTAATAACGTAATACATCAATTTTTCATGTGGTTGCGGACACAAGTCCCGCCCTTTCGTATTTGCTTCCTGACACCTGACACAGGTCCATAAGTCACAGAGTTTGCACTGTGACACCCTGGCACACGTTTCACCCTTTGTGGGGACTCCCACGAGAGTTGCTTGCTGTTGTGACAGCCCGAGTAAGGAGAATGGGAGCTGCATCCCAAGGTACCAGGAAAAGCCCAGGGCCAACATGCAGCATGACTCAAGATTTCTCACCAATGGAAAAAAACTTGCCTCTGCAAGGCAAACTCTGCAGAGCTACAGTATTGGGGAGGGAAACAATTTCCCTTGGGTTTATGACAAACCAATAGCAGAACAGGGGGAAAATAACCCTCATTTTCCAATTCTGAAGTGGTAAAAGAGCCTGTGTAGAAGTGGCCAGATGAACTGTAACCAATTCAACCATATAGGGTAGGGAATGCTCCAGGCTCTGGGTCATGACAAAGATGATCTAAGCTGCTCCCTCTTTCCTAGATGTGGACTGAAGCTGCGGTTGAAAAAGGAGAAGCTGCTGGGCTGAGGCAGGAAACAGTAGATTTAACATCTCCCTAAATTTCAGAATTAACTGATTGGGACTTCAAGGAAAAAGTGAATCTGGGCAAAAAGGAAGCAGGGGGAACACGTGTTTCAGGAGTCCTGCTTATTTCTGTAAAAACATGGAATTATTTAGCTAGTTAAATTACTTATTTTGTGTGTATTAGTTAAATCACTATTATTTTTAAGAATTGTTTTCTGAGCGAAGCAGTGTACATCAAATAAATAAATAAATAAATAAATAAATAAATAAATAGTCTCATGTTTTTGTCTCTTTATCAATTGGGGCTTAGTGTACAATTCTGAACTACATATTTTGGGCTGTGGTCATGAACTGAAGCTTTATACTTTAAATCAGCATTTTTCTTTCATAAGCTGGAGCTCTATAAAATCTGGAGTTGAATATTCAAACAAGTATCATGTAGTGGAGCAGCACCATCTTGTGGTCTGCGTGGAGTATTACATCCCATTTTCCATTAGTTTTAAGTTGTACGTAGCTTTTTTAACCAACTGACCACTTGCTGCTTCCCCTGGAGTTGGACAGCTCTAGAACCTACATTTTTTCTTAACTTGTGTTGTGTGTTGATATTTAAAAGCAAAAAGACCCTGATGCTGGGAAAGACTGAAGGCAAAAGGAGAAGGGGACAGCCGAGGATGAGATGGTTAGATAGCATCGCCGAAGCAATGAGCATGAAACTGAGTAAACTCAGGGAGGCAGTGAAGGACAGGAAGGCCTGGCACGATGCGGTTCATGGGGTCACGAAGAGTCGGACACGACTTAACGACTGAACAACAACAAATTTAAAAGCAAATAGGCTTTTACATCTGATTTTTTTCTATTTCTTTTACTTGAATAAACTTTGATTTTGTTTACACATGGAAGGAGAAAAAGCAGGGGTGATGGCAATTGCTTGTGCTCCCGCCTTCCCTTAGCGATTTCCAGATCTCCCCATTGGTAGATTTGTGCAGCGACACAGACAGTACTTGAGTTCCGAGTGCTGGGGGACTTGCAGAGAATTGCAGAGTTTTGGTCAGAACAACTACAGAAACTCAGAAGATATTAGTTCTGATTAGATATCAGTTAAGATATTAACTGAAGGGAGGTAAAATGAAAAAATGGCCAGCATTCAAGACTTGATGTGTCTCTTCAAGTCTGGGGTCAATCCAACAATTATTAGACTAAAAGAGCCTGCCACGCTATCTTTTGTGAGTTTATCTCCCAAAAGGTGGGAGGAAGGGCAGATAGCTCTGTTTAGGGTGACCTGTTCCCCACTGGGCAGAGAACACGTACGGGGCTGTTGTTATTTGGGCTGTCTGGCAGACAAAACGGCTCACATCCACTCCAACCCGGACTCTGGGCAGGTCAGGCTGAGGTGCCCGGGGCATGGCCTGGGGCTGTGATCTGGGATGAATGTGAGCCAGTGATTCCTGAGGACGTGGACAGGGTTAGCTTGGCCACCTGTTTACTGGATCCAGGGCCCTCCTGGGTTTTAAAAGCACCCAGGGATATGACCTACAGTCAGGTCCATGCTGTGGGGTTCCTTCTTGGATGGAGGGGTACCTCCTGCCTTAAAAGAGACAGTGGTATACTTCCTCCTCAAGAGGCTGTCCTTGGACCCAATGGCTTTCGAAAACGATTTGTCTAGACTCCCACCTCCCCTTTCTGGGGAAGGTGGTTGGTCTGCAGTTGATGAGAACCCTGGAGGAAGCGGATTATCTACACCAGTGTTTCTCAACCTTGGCAACTTGAAAACGCGTGGACTTCAACTCTCAGAGTTGCCCAGCCAGCATGAATGGCACCTGCCATAGGTTTATAATTACACAGTACAGTCATGCGTTTATTGGTATAGAAAAAAATGGGAAAAAAGTGATATGACTTAAAATGATCATCTGTATTCAGTTTACTTCTTACTATCTTGACTGAGAAAATATCACTGACAATAAAGTTACAGAAATTTTAATTTAAAAAAATAACGGTGACAACTTACAGCTCCTTTGCAGTACAGTCTTAATTTTCCTGATGGCGTGCGTACAATCACAGACATTCTTTTCCTAGAACTGAAAGAATTGAATGTTTTAAGGGACTAAGATTGTAATTCTCAGGAGGAAATGCCAGTTCCATATGACATATAGGAATTACTCCCCTTTCTAAGTTAAACAGAGGGCTGTGACCTCAGAGGGAAAATTCTGCATCAGAGTCTGACCCTTCCATATTCTGTGGGCACTTTTGCAATCCTTTTCTCCCCAGTGTTGTATTTCCAACACTGTTGGAAAGGAATTTAGCATGGATGATTTATAGAGGCATCACTTCACAGGATCTAAATCTTACCTATGCTTGAACTAGTACCACACTTTCAAGCCAATTAAATCAGCTCTAATGGTAGTCATTATTAATTGCCTCATACTATATGCAATGAAAGAAAAGTTTCTAAGAAAAGGCCAGAAAGAATATTTTCACTACCACCCTGCAGGTCTCTTATCTCACCGAAGCCTCCAAGATCAGAGTATTCTGAGTGGTACATCGGGACTATTCTGAGTTGGAAGAGATAGCTTTTTAAAATAAAGATACTTAACATAAAACTTAAACAATATTTCACTATATCATGAAAAGAATGTGGATTAGGAAAGTAATTCAGGGGAAGAAAACAAGTAATGAAAATCATTGAATCCTAAAGTTTTCCTTAACTTAATATCAATAAAGTTACACAATATTTAATCTATGAAAGACTGGAACATAGTGTTTTGGAAATAAATTTTTTTTAGAAAGCATGTCATTCTGTTCTAAAGAAAACGCACATTATCTAAATCTTTTAATAAAAAGATTGTTTAGAGCTGATATCATCCAAGTAACACGTCTGGTCTAGAGTCTCTATGAGTAGAACTCTACTGACAGAACTCAGAGGAAGAGATTGTGGCCAATTCTGTTTCTTCCCTGCACCTTCTCAAATTCTTCAACGGATTGGAAGACTCTCCTACAACCCACCATGTAGGAGGTGGCATGAGAAGAAACTGTGAGGGGAAGGAGAATTGGTTAACATCCCTTTCTGCACTTTCTCCAACGAGAGAGAAGCACGTTTATGTTGAATCTCAGTCCTTTGCATGGAACCCCTCCATTCAATATCCATTCAAATAATGTTGTCAGCCATAGAATATATTATTGTTAGTGTTCTAGCTTATCTGAATTTAACACCTGGATTGAATTCTGCTTGGAATGTACATATCTTAACCTGTAAGTGAAACCTTTTTGCCAAGGAAATAACTTAAAAAACACATTTGATCAAGACATATTTAATTACCTTGTAAATTCTAACACATTTAGCAATTCATATCTTTCTTCTTGACCCAGCTGGGAAAAAAAAGCAACATGATGACAAAATTATTATTTAAAATTTCAAAGGCACTATATTAATTTTCAAAGTTCTACTGTATGTTAATAGTAATTTTTAGTTAGAAAATAATAACTTTCAATTTACTAGTTTAAAGTACTTACAGATTCTAGAATGACAGAGTCCGGTGTTCTTCCAGTAAAAACAAAATGAAGTTGCTTAGCTGCTCTAACCAAAGCTCCTTCATCTGTAATAAACCATCCTTTATTATTTCACTGACAAATTGATAACATTCAATCAATATGTTTATTCTTTTGACTGCCGGAAATCAGATTTTTTATTCTAATTATTTTTACATACTTTCCATTACATTTCAAGTAAAAAGAAGCACATTTCATAATTTATTTATTGGACTTGTCCCCGCCCATCTCCCCACAATTTAAGAGTGCTTCCAAACAAGATTTCTACCATATAATCTTTCCTGGTTCATATACTGTAATTTGATAAGGGAATGAAATATGACCAACTTGCACTTCAATTTGCTTGTGTTTGTTACCACTTCTTCCATTTTTTTTTCTTTTAAAAAATATCAATCAAATATTGGTTTTGATAAGCAGTACAAGAACTATTTGTTTTCCTATATACTTTTATGTTTATGTAATTAACATGTATAGTAAAAAAAAAATCCAGCCTTTTCCTACATACCAGGGAGGGACCGTCCCAGCTTCACCATAAAGGCCATTATAGTACTAACCAGCATTCTGAATTGGGCCCAGAATCCTACCAGTAATCAGAGCAGTGACTGAAGAACAGATGATATAATCTAGTATTGGAGTCTGCTTGCCCCCTCCATTCCTCAAGGTTTTCTACCACTGATGTATATAAAATAAATTTCTGCTTAGGAAACGATCATAAATGTAAATTGGGAAGGAGATGGCAGGGACATATAAGGTGAGCCTGGTGTTTATTTCTACATCTCCGAGGAGCGCAGTGCATAGATACAATCAAAGCCTGTTCTGGAGAGAGTTGAGGAACAGGAGCTTCTGCCCATAGCAGTCTTTCATTCTGATGAACGGTTATATAAATTATGTGCATGCTTTGCTGAAACTGAAGCAGTTCTAATTCATACTATTCACATTACATTGCATGAGGAAATCCCATAAACCCTATTATAGGCATGACTTGGTGTGGTAAACAAAAATGTAATTTAAAAGTCCAAACAATCCATAATTCTTCTGAGGACAATGTTCAGCATAAAGTTAGCAATGCATCCTCTTTAAAATAAACTCCAATCTATCTATATGAATATCTCTTTACATAGTAGAACATAGTTACAGCTATTCAACTTTACATAGTTGAAAGTAATTACAGCTACTGTATAAGCTTTACCTGGAGATGCTGCTTGATAAATTATCCCATCATCCTCTCTTTCTGGAACAGCTGTATGACAAACTGCCATCATTGTCAAAAACTCACAAATTATAGGTGCAGTTGGCTAAAACAGAAAATAACAGAATGAATTCTTTATTCTAGGATTAAGAATTTTACATCCAGACAAATAGGTACAAAAGTAGCTATAAAAATAAAAGCATATTGAAATATTGTCTTTTAAAAATGTTCATTTTTAAAGGTCACCTAACAGTAAAAACTCACCTAGCAGAAACAAAATGGTAGGGGAAATGAAAGAGACAAGGATAGGCATTTTCTTTACCAAAAAAAAAAATAAAAAAATAAAAAAATCAGATCCTAAGAAATAGAAGTAAGCCTTCTGATTTGGAAAAAGCTATTGGTTAAGTGAAAAGAATGTTCATGCTAGGAATATCTGTACTTTCCAAATGGTAACTGACTAAATGGGGAAATATTATGCTGTTTAAAAATAAATTATTTCTCAAAGAAAATAACTTTTGTTAAAATGCATGAATGTTACCATCGTATCTGTTAATTTTAATCTTATAAACAAGCTGTTATTCCAACTATATCAGAGTAGAGCAACACAATCATTGGTAGAATATACGTTCTGCAAGCAAGAGGTTCTAGGTTTCGCCCTGTTGTATCTTGGTAGTTAAACAGTCTAACCTGGAAAAGTTAGTTCCTATGCCACCTAAGCATGGTTGTTACTATCTGGGAAAATAAAATACATGTCTTTAATAGATTTTCTAGATATTTACCAAAATATAATGCCTTACAACTGCAGTTATCTTTAAAATAATCATTTAGGAGAAATTGTCCTAAGTATATTTTTCTAGAGTTTGTATACAAACAATTGATTACTTGTAATGGTATGTGGGAATGATCTTGGGAGACAGGAGGAAGAGCCACAGCCTAGACAACGGTCTGATAAACAAAATTTGAATCCAAAGGAGGAGGGGTGGAGAAGGGGTCTCAGAACAGACCCTCCCTAGTTTTCGGGGGGGGGAAGCGAGGGACAGGAGGGGCCCTTTCAGACTTGCAAGATTCTGTTAACATAACCTGACAATAAAGGTAGAGCTAGTATTCATGGTTGTGCTTCTTGTCTGGACTACCTCAAAGGGCTAACACTACTTGTACAAGTTAACTAAAATAGATTTAATTTCTCATCAATTCTTTTGATATCGCTGTCCTACTTTCAATGGATAACAATGCTAAAAGGGTAAGATGGGCTTCTACTGTATTAATCCATTTATCCACTTTCTTAGCACATGTGGGTAGCAAGGTTGTTATGTTTTACCAGTAAAACTTTAGGAATAAGCTGTTTTGAAATATAGTGTAAGAAAGGCGACTTGTGGTCATCTATTTACCACTAGGCCTTTTTGATCTTTTCTATGAACAAGAAAATAAGCAGCCCATTTTGCAATATGAATGCATTTCTCTATCATGGAAAAAATAGGAAATGTCTACCTTTATTGGGAAAATAATTAATTAATTGAAGTTAAAAATATGAATGTCAGGTTCTAAGTACATCCCTGTGTACTCATCACACTTTCTAACAGCTTATATTATATGCTTTCAAATTAGAGAAAATCTTTCATCTCAACCAGCTAGTGTGCATTTTCCCTAAGAAAAAACAATATTCTTATCCTTTAAAGCCAATGTATTTATTAAATTGTAAATATCACACTTACTGTGGTGCTCAGAGCTTTTGCTCCAGAACTCAGACAACTATTGTTATCAAATGACTATTACAAAAATTTGACATATAGTATTATATAAATTTATTTAGTCACTGAGGTGAACATTTTTGTTACAGAAATACAGCTTTGGGAAGGGGTTGATTTGGGCCTGGGAAAAGGCCACAGTAGGAATGCCTTATCCTTTCTGCTGCATATCCACTTTAAATAAAGCCCTCAGCTGTTTTATTTCTTGAAGTATGCCAGATTCGTGTTTGGAATGGTGCATATTTATTTCAAATCTAAAACAAAAATGTAACTGAAGAAAAGATGTAGTAGTAGAACAGGTTATGAATCAGAAAGGTGAGCAGTCCTCCATTTGCTTCTTGATTACATACATATTTTTCTGTAAACCAAAATTGTAACTTGTAAATGTTTGTTACATCTTTAAGAGAAAATAAATATTGTTTAACTATTCTGATAACCACAATTATGTTAGTTTTGAAATTATTATTTATTTTGCATAACAGTATTTCTGTATCTTACATGTTTGTTTTGGAGGTTTTCCAGTAATGATGAGTCGCTAAATGTTTTTTCTTCCCTTGCTTGTGAACTCTCCCTAAAAACAAATGTGAAAGAAATGAAACCAATATTACATTTATTTATGATACAAATATAATGCAGCTTCATGAAGTATAAATCATGTAGATTCTGATTACATCTTTTTTGAAGTAATGGTTACACAAGATTGTAATCTGTACTTAAGGCATCTCACATTTTAATTATCCTTCATCCACATAGTTGTAGTTCAATTAACTATGCAGTAAAACACATTTAATTGGGTTCAACACAGAATCTTGATAAATATACAGAACAAAATGAATGAAATCAATAGCTACTTTATCCATATAAATCACATCAAAACAAGACTTTCACCTGTGGTGAAACAATCAAAAGTCAGCCTCTGACAACAAATGCTTTCCTAGAGATTAAGTTTTGATTAATGTTTATAAATATTTTTGATAATAAGACAATTCTAATTAGAACATTTTAAAACCAGGTTATTTACATTTGAGTGATGAAACGTTCAGTAAAGCTTATTCAGTCTAAAAAAATGGCTGAGTAATAAATGTCTGTGCAACAGATGTTTCAACTCCCCTCTTCTCAACAGATGAAATTTGTGGCATTTGAAGGTACTGTTTCAGAATTAGGTGCTACTTTCTCTATATACACTCAATTTCAATATGTTAATAATAGCGATATATCATTGTGAGTAAAAAGAAATAAGAGTGAAAATTAGTGCTTACCAATCATCCTCAGAAGAGCCAAAATCATCTGATTCAGGAGAATGGCTATATGAAATGTAAAGAAGGCAGAACAATATAGGAAAATAGCTAAGAAAGATTTGAAGTTTGAAAAGCTCATAAAAGAGAAATTAAAGCAAAAGAATCACAAGTCATCTAGTAATTAATTCAAGTAATTGAAACAATAGCTCTTTTAAGGGATCCATGTTATTTGAAACCTACTTTGTGAGCGACCTGGAATACATGGACTATATTACATAACTCAAGCATGTCCGAAAGGTAGCTCCAAAAGCACCATACTTTGCACTTTTTATGCTGGTGACCATTAGAGTATGGCCAGAGATAGCAAGCGATTGTTCTCTTGGTCTCTACTCTGCTTTTCCCTGACTGGAATATTGATAATTCCTCTTTTTCCTCTCTCCCCTTCCCCACAATGAGGATACAAAGCTCAGAGATGCAGGCTTTCTACCACAACATTAAATTTCTGTAATACACTTACTTTACTTGTTCTTTTGGACTGCAAATATCTGCCTAAAGGAAGACCGCAAAATATGGGCCCCAGAGAATGACCTGCAGGAGTGCAACCAGGACTCCTTCAAAATGTTCCTTACAAAGCGAAGACAAACACAGCTGTCCCTCAGAGTTGTCTATGGGGGACAGGGAGAGTAGAGATAGGGCTGTGTGCATGGACTCATCCTTTTTTCCTGTTTAAAGCCTTTCCCTCATTCAGCAGAGTGTGTAAAGAGAGCTATCGTTTCAACCACTGGAATGCATATAGGAGATTAATGAATTGCATGAAGCGTTCATCCAGATACCCTCCTCGCTCCAGCACTGAGACAGCTAGCTTACTATTTGAGAAGGACACATCCTTACAAAGAAGCCTCTACGTAAGAACCACTCTAAATTGGAGGTAGGCTGAAGCCAGATCAAAGTGATCCAGCAGGAAAATGGTGATTTCCATTAGGAAACACAATAAATCATCCATTCTGATTTGTATGGAGGAAGAAGCAGAGGAAGACTTGTGGTCTGCATAGCTGCACTCCCCCTTCCCTTCCAGCCAGAGGGTCCTGTGCCTCCATGGCCATTTCTGTTGCAGCTATTGACAGAACAGACTGTCACTCAACAGCCAGCTTTCCTTGGGGTTTTTTCCTCCTCTTTCTGCTCTAGTAAATGTGTGAGAGATGATGAGGCGGCTGTAAGCCTTGATACCCTGACAGAGAGTCTCTCCGAACAAGGCTTTCACTGGGAGACCAAGTTCTGTGTGGAATCTCCTCTCCAAAGAAAGCTCTGAGTTTAGAGGGAAGGAAAGCACACACACACAACACACACACACGCACGCTGCCTTTCCTTGTCCCTTAAAAGTGAGTGCTTCATCAGTATCAAGTTTAAAAGAGAATCCCAGAAGGCTGCTTCTTCTGGGATGAGAAAAAGCACAGAAAATAACATGCATTTGGCTTAGGCTGTCAGAATAGCGATTTAGAAAGTGACATGCTATCATCCTGCCTCAGGGATGGGAGAAAAGCCCATTGTAGGTTGTGGGGAAGAGCCTGAGTTAAATCAAATTTAGGTTCAAAACCTCCTCCTTTCCTTCTACACTCATAAAACTTTCTCAGGCCAAAGACACATTCATTCATGAAATACAAATGACTCAAGAACTACAGAATAATTGTTCAAGAGTTGTTTGAACACCAGCTGCCATAATAAAGGGACATTCTTGCTTCTTCTTTGCAACTTATAACTTACATAAACTTGACAAATAAATAAATACTGTAAACTAAAAGACAAATAAGAAGGAGAGAAAGGAAGAAAGTTTTAAACATAGGCACAAGGCACAGGAGGGTATAGTACTCTAAGTGAAGATGGAGCAGGAGATGTTTCACAGTCAACAGCACTGAAACTGTAGGTCCCCATAGCTATCATATGTTTTAAAATCCATTAAACGCCTGCAAATGTGCGCAGACTCATAGAAATAAAGTTTGAAAACAACAAGTTCTTCGCACTGCTTTTTATCTTCATCCATAACTGGAAGAGCTTTAGTATTATTATGTGTAGTATTTTAGTATTTAGTATTGTTACTTTTAATAATTAGCTATTTGGCAATCACTTCTTCCCGGGAAGAAGCACGGCAGAGACTGCTCGCCTGTCATTAACGTCCAGCTGGCTGCGGTCCCACTGGCTAAGAGTGGGTAAAAATGGAATGAGGACTCTCTTTCAAGCGTCTTTTGCGCGCACCCTGTTTTACAGAAATAGCATCCCTGTTTTTCCTCTTTCAACCTAACGCTACCTTTGAAAAACTGTCAGTGGGCTTTGAAAGTGATTACTTGGGAAGTATGGTATACATTTTAGTAAGTTTTATTTAGAAAAATCTCATTGGTGAAATGGCTTTCACCATGCTGCTAGCTTCTTCACAGCGGTTCTGAAGAAGTTAGCAAAACATCAGCACGTGTTCATAGTTCCACAAGGCATTACATTATTTTCACCAGTAAATAACCGCTGTGGAAACTATACTCTGTGAGGAAACATGTTAATTGTGCTGCAATTAGTTCAGGAAAGACTGATATAAAATGCTAATGACATTTGACAGAAAATTTCTACAAAGAAAATTTGTTCAGGTTGTGTCTAGGTGTGACCTTGCTTCCATGTTATGTGGCTAATGTTCTTTTTTTTTTCTTTGCAGAATTGCACATCTTACTAGCCCCCCAGGGTTTAATAAATTTGTGCTATATAACTTCTAAGAATTTCTCAATACTTATACTTAGTATATACGCAAGCTTATACGCATGCATATACATGCAAATTCATAACAAAGCAATTTCTCAAGAGTATCCAATTTGTTTTATTCTTTTAATAGACTTAACTGTTCCATAGAAAATTAACGAACTGCTCGTTTCAGCAATTGTAATGATTTCGAGTTTAACCAGTACAATAGTTCATATAAAATACTATATTTTACATTTTAAAGGACTTTAATATTTTTTTAAATCAGGACACTGAGATTGTAATCCTATAGATATTTATTTTGAGGAAGTCCTAATGAACTTAAAAGGGCTGATTTCTGAATAGAAATATCTAGGACTGTGTCACTGGAGAAACGTATATATCTCACAGCTACTGTGAAGTGTCTCAGACAACTGCTTATACCCAATCCTTAATTCTAATTTATTCAAAAGTGAGAAAACAGCTGTGTAAAATACCCAGTTTGATCAATCAAGCTACATGGGTGAGCAGATGAACTGTTTACTGACTTAACGGTAAAACCTAGGCACTGAAACAGTCATGCATCACAGGCTTCTGATTCTCTTCGATGTGCTTATGTTTTTAACTGTTAATTCCTGAATGCCCAACTCTAATGAAAAAGGTAGCAAAGAATATAAAACCAGCAATTACTTAAGAAAGAAACTTACCCGTAAGATATTCCTGCTATGGTACACTTCTTAAATTGCATTACGTTGCACGTCAAGGTACCTGTCTTGTCCGAAAATATGTATTTGACCTTAAAAAAAAAAGGTAAATGGTCGTTAATATTTTTCATCAAGTATACATTATTATATCATTGTGGTAGTAACGTAATGCATTTACTAATTATATACCTTAAGCACATATTGAAAATAGTAGCAGAAAGAAAACCCTTTCCAGTATTGGGTAGTTTAGACAACAGATCGGTAAACTGTCCCCTTAGAATTCAGCACCTCTTCCAGCTCCCAAGACTGCCGACTGTTTTGCAGAGATGGAATATTTTATGGCTGCTTAGATGTACATAATCCAAAGTATACTCCCTGAGCAAGATAAGAGGTACTCCTACTCCCATCCTATTCATGCAGGAAAGGGATCTTTAAGGCACTGTTTTAGCCAGATGTGTCTTTGTTTTTATCACTGTTTTATAAATTAACTTCCCCATACTTACAAGTATTTAAGGACAACATACTAGAAGCAAGAAGGAAGGAATGGTACATTTATTCGGTATTATAAATACATGCTGTACTCAGCGTATTTATTATAACCTGGCACATCAATAACTGTATTTTTTCCTAAGTATCAAGGTAAGATATTGTAATACTTGCTCTGTATTTTTACTACCACTATGTTTGTAAACAGTAAACTTTTCAAATTCTTTCAAGACAGATAAATTCTGGATTTATCTCTGCCTTCCTGGCCTTGTGAAATAAACGAGGACAGTTAACAGTAGCAAAAGCTCATCTTCCAGAGCTAGAAAGCAAACAATCGCCTTATACTCAATCCAGAGATCCTGGGGTTCTTCCCGTAATCCTCAGGCAAAGCTGCTCGAAGAGGTACTTGTTCACATATTTAGTTCTTTCCAGTTATCAAGAGAGAAAGCAAGAAGGAAGGAACCATTTTAATTTCCCTTGATGTCCTAAAATAATGGGTCCATAGGATTGTAAATGTCCACGTATAACTTTATGATGAGACCACATTTGGAGTACTGTGTACAGTTCTGATGAATGCACCCTAAAAAGAATATTGCAAAGGTGCAACCACAGTTATTAGAGGCCAGAGCATTTCCCTTATGAAGACATTCTGCAGGAATTACAGCTTTTTAGTTTGGAGTATAAAGGAAGTACCTCACAATGCATAATTATGGAATTCCCATCAGGTATAGTGAGGACCACTAATATATACAATTATAAAATGGGAATGGAC